TCAATTTCATATTCTCTAAATTCCAAAGCAAACCAAAAGGAAGTTTTGCTTTGCTTTGCTTTGCTTTGCTTTGCTTAAGCAAGAGTACCAGTGAATCTTGCCAGTTTTCAAAGGCACCTTGTCTTGTCTTAAAACATCTTTTGCAAGGGAATGGATCTGTTGTAGAAGAACAGAAAAAGGCCACAGGCAACCAAGGAAATCAGGAATGCATTGGAAGAATGGCTGCTCTCAGCTGGTTATAACTTATTTGATTCTGCAAGAAAAAAGTAATAGCCGAAAGTAATTTTGTATATTTTACTTTATCTACAAAATATAATCAAAGCATTTTAAACATGAATCAGTCTAAATTAAAGGGCAGTTTTCAAGATGTTGCATCCTTTTATGAGCATCACATCATAACCAAAGGAACGCATGCAGACCCCAAAATATTCTTAATGCTTATCAAACACTAGTTGGGGCTTGAATTAACCGGTGTCATGGGAAAATATGAAAATGTAAACCTTTTGTTGTCTGTAATCTGACATGCTTCATATCTACCTGCTGCTGGCATCTTTCTTTTCTCTGGTGTCTCCAAAAAGGTGTATTTCCCCAAAAGTTCTTTTGATTCCTTGAATGAAGAAATATTTTTGTAGGCATGACTGTCCAACGGAGGTGGGACTGTTTCATATTCCATGCATGCACGAATCTAACTAAAAGAAAAATCAAGTGCTTATTTTAAAATATTGGTTGAAAATGCTAATAGAAGAGGCGGCATAACTTTACTTTGAATTCAGATTGTAAAATGCTTTTTCTTTTTAACAATTGATGGCAAGCAACCTCTATTTTTATTCCCATTGCCACTAAGACTAATCACAACTTAAATAAAAGTTAAACTGCTTTTACTCCAAAGTGTGGTTTGTTCAACTGTTTACCAATGCTTATAAACAATGGTGAAAACTTTGACAAGTGTGCGAGGTGTTGGATAAAGATAATGTGTCTCATAAAACCCATTTGTTTTGGATTTTTTCCGAGGAGCTGAAATAAACTCTCCACTCAGGCCAGTGAGTTTGTTGTGAATGAGATCTTCAGAACATGAGTCCCAAGTGTCTACTGCTTTGTGTAACTGAAATGCTGTTAAAAGTGGAGTGTTAATAGGTAACACTGTATAAGTGTATCACATACATAAAAACAGCTTGCCTCTCAGATTTTCTGTGCAGTCTCAACAAGTGTTTGGCTGATGATTGTCTTGGGCAGAAGAGTGGGACAGTTTAAAATATTGGTTGGAAATATTAATAAAAGACTGCATACATTTACTTTTAATTCAGATCATAAAAAAATAATAATTGGTGGTAGTGAGGGAAATGGGGAGTTTCTGTTTGCATCCTCATCTTTGACCTAGGCATAAATAATATTTTGTCTAAAATTCCCCAGAGACAGGTAGAAGTAAATTTGCCATTAGGTGGATGGCAAGCCAGTATTCACAAAATTCATGGAGATTTGTTTTTATTAAGAAGTGTTGCCATTTACTTTCCCAATTTTCCTTGAGAACATGTTTTGGAACTGTAAAGAGATTTGTCCTAAAATAATCCAGGGAAAGGTATTTAGTGAATTTAAGTGTATTTTTCAAAGAAACAACAACATTGTGCTTGCACAAAGTAATAAAGGATTCTCTCTAACCCAAATTGCCTTTATTAAGCCATGTGGAAGGAATGAACCTTCCAGACTGGTCTAGCTTCCTTTATCATAAATATTGCCCGCTTGAAAGCCAATTTAATTATGCAGAACGTTCTACCACATCAAGCCAGTTTAGTAACAAAGTGCTTGAAGTTTTGGTGACGATATCCTAGTTTGAGGGTTGTTTTAATCTTGTCTTAATTTGCTGCCAGAGCTGGTTCTGCCCAATATTTAACTATTGGATAGCATCCCAGAATACACTCCTTTATTTCCTCAGGGACAGAAAATACTCTGTGGGCTTGACTATTTTAGCAGCTTAGTCAACTGCTTCATGATCATTTGGAGGATGGCAAACAAGAATTGAAGTTAAAAACAAACAAGCAAACATAATTGTCATAGGATCAAACAACATTTGGAGCTATTTTCTGGCTCAGATATTGCAGTACAAAACCATGTCAACTGTGTACAGATACAATATTTTATTATTTACAAAATTAAGTAATTTATTTCCTTTCATTAGGACTGTCTGTTCAGGATTAAAATGTTGAGGGATGGAAGGGAAGGATGGAGCTGTGAAGGTCGTTATTCACACTTTTGCAATGGGATGGACTTGTGTTTATTGTTAAGAAAGAGAGTGACCAGGACACTGGATATAGGACACTGCAAGCAATATGTTCTTGCTTTGTCCTCTCCAATTCTTTGGAGTTTGGTGCCATTTCACAGAAAGGGGGAATCAGTCTTTCAGAAAAGAACTATTCCCCCATGACTCTTTTTTTTTTTTCCAAAGAAGATCACCACAATGTAAAAAAGATGTTGAGACTCTATAAAGAGTACAGAGAAGAGCAACAAAGATGATCAGGGGACTGGAGGCTAAAATATACAAAGAATGGTTGCTGGAATTGGGTATGTCTAGTTCAGTGAAGAGAAGGACGAGGGGTGACATGACAGCAGTGTTCCAGTATCTCAGGGGTTGCCACAAAGAAGAGGGAGTCAAGCACCTGAAGGCAGGACAAGAAACAAAGGATGGAAACTAATCAAGGAGAGAAGCAACCTAGAACTAAGGAGAAATTTCCTGACAGTTAGAGCAATTAAACAGTGGAATAACTTGCTTCCAGAAGTTGTGGGTGCTCCAACACTCAAAGTTTTTAAGAAGAGACTGGACAAACATTTGTCTAAAATGGTATAGGATTTCCTTCCCAAGCAGGGCGTTGGACTAGATGACCTCCAAGGTCCCTTCCAACTCTATTATTATTATTATTATTATTATTATTATTATTATTATTATTATTATTATTATTATTATTATTATTATTATTATTCCACCACATTTTTGAGCATAATGGAGGCAACTAAACATTTGAAGGAAGCAGAGCAGCTCACCATCACTCTGTCTTGTGTTTGGCATCCTAAGGATAACCAGACAACATCGCCCTATCTATCTAGACATTGTTTTACCTTGTAAACCTTTTTTGTAGCATTGTCAGACTAAGCGCACCACTGAAGGTTGGTAAGCATCCATTGGTGATGGTGAGGGTATGTTAGAACAATTTTTTAAAATGCAGGTGTTGATTATCATTCCCGTTTGATTCAAATCTGGGATGACATTTTGTCTGAAATAGTTTTATTGTTGGCATAATTCTTTTAATCAAGATATCCCATTAGATTCTGGCTCTATCAATTGTTACATCTGTTAATATCAGTATACCATTGCCATTTCCTATTGAAAGCATTTTAATATTTGTTTTGATGCTCATGCCCTCAAAAGAGATCAAACATCTCTTGGAAGACAAGTGATAATCCAAGGATTTGAGAGCCTCTAAACTAGGGTTTCTCAAAGCTTTACTACTGAAGCTTTATACTTTATACTACTTTAAAATGTATAAAGGCTCTTGGCATTTCTGTATAATCGTCTATTCAAGATATGCCCCCTTTGAGTTCAGTCTTTGGATGCATCTCTTCATAGATCAGGGGCATATAAAATTACAGAGTTTTCTAGATAGGGTTAGAAAAGATTCCTACCAAAATCAGTCAGTTTAGATAATTTGGAAGTAGAAGGACCAGTGCTATAACTCAGAATTCAGAAACTTCCTTTGGTCCATGTATGATACCAGAACAATTGGATGATCAGTGCAGTCTATTGGTAGGAACAATAGATCATGCTGAGATTCTGTAAAGTAGCCTCTTTTGAGAACAAATGCTTTGATCTTCCAGCAGTCTTTGCTGTTCTTTTATCGTGGTACATGGGACATGTTTTAATCTGCCTTGAGGTAAAGTTTGGGAATCTGCTTTCTTGGGGTAGCTGTTATCTTGTGGTCTTCTTACTGCTGTACTTGCTTTTTTGAAACCAAAAGCTGGGTTGTATCTGTATCCAGTTAAATTGGCTTGTTGGTTTCATTATGCTACAAATGCAGTCCCATCTCTGTAAAGTTCTTGGGATCACAAAAGCCACGGGGGAGGGGAGACAGAGAAATCTGCTCTGTCTTTGCATCTCTCCTTACCTGTTGCTCTTTCATGCGATTTGCTTTTCTTCTTTCTGCTGCTGGATTCAGAGCAGGAAATTTTCCAAAGATAAAATTTATGAATGGTAGGAATCCATGATCACGGCTGGCGTAATCTGGCATAAAAATGAATTTTCTTGCTTTTGATTTATAATCTTCTGGAGAGCGGTACATACCATCTGTCTGCTTGGGCAGGTTCTGGAGGCTGCTATATACAAGAAAAATATACAAAACCTGTACAGCCATTTTAAAAAGTCAACATCTAAAATATAGCCTGCTAAATATACCCCCAAATACATTTGGAGCCAAATGCATAAAAATAAATAGTTGATTATGTTACCTTTTAAAAAAGAGACTTTCATATGAGGATACATATGTATTTGGGTTAATTTCTGCCAAGGCAAGGAAGAAAAATAGGTAAAAAAGGTGTTGGAAATTTGTCCTGCAACCTGTTTCTGTATGCATTCAGGTATTACTTTGGGCCTTTCAGTTGACTGCTGTTTGCTGAGTTACAATCTGTTTGGTCTATAGTACTTTAGCTTCCTTGATGATTACTAGGAAACCATTTAAATTCAGTTGATCGAATATTTATTTATATGACAGGAAGTAGAACTAGACTTGAACAAAATTCATAAACTGAGCAACAGTGACTAATTTTATTATACTGTTTATTAATATGAAAGTCCTCTACAGTAGCCACAATTCATAGTTAGTTTGGGGTATTTTTGTCTTTTGAATAGCTGATTGGAAATACAGACTGAGAAAACGGCTCTACAGGTTTTAGAGATATTTTCGACAGTGTCTTCAGACAGTTTGAATTCACAGCTCCTTTTTCTCCTCTTGCCTCAGGTTGAAGAACGTTCCAGACTTAACCGGCAAAGTTCCCCAGCCATGTCTCACAAGGTGGCCAACAGAATTTCTGATCCAAACCTTCCGCCTCGATCAGAGTCCTTTAGTATCAGCGGGGTGCAGCCTGCTCGGACACCACCCATGTTGCGAGCAGTAGATCCACAGGTATTGTGTCTAAGTAAAGCTTCCTGTTCTTTGCTGCTCAGATGCAGGTCAGACTGGAATGTGACAGATTATTCTCATCAAAGGTAATGTCATCTCTAAGCAGTTACCCTGTTTAACAGGCATTAACATTTCAGAACAGCACAGTCAAATTCTGCATGTAGTTTGTCATAGACTAATTCAGTTACACTGCTCATTGACTGTTTTCCCCTCCTCCCCTTATCTGAGAGAGAAATAAAGAAATGCAACTTAGCTGTCACAACCGCCAGATTGTCCTCTGCTTATGGAATGATAATGAAAATAAAATTAGGGATATTTAATCATCCTGTTATTAAAGTTTGTGGAACAGTAGCAGTCTCCGCTGTTTGAAGTCATTCAAACTTAAAAGATGCACAAGTCCTGATGAAGTAGCATGCATCCTTTACTTTTCTGGGAGAAAATATAATCCATAAAGCTGCTTTTTTAGGCAGCAGATTTCATCTGGACTTGTCTCTATTGGCTTTCCATAGAAAAAAGTAGTGACAATGGAAATTTTTGGATGGGTGAGTGACCAGAAATAACAGTGAGGAAATCATAATGGGCTAGAAGGAGAACTTGTAGGCAAGATATGGAGGCAATGTGGGTCAAATCTTGACCAACTATCAGTCCTCCTGCACTTGTGATTTAGACAGTCAAACACATACTGAGCTACCCATAGGGTGGACGAAATGAAAAATGTGTCAGTCAATCTGCCCTTAACCTGGCTGTTTGGGAGAGAAGTCAAAAGTCAAGTCATAAGGAAACATGCTCCAGGATCTCTGATAAAGAGGAGTATTTAAATAATGTTAACAGTGGTGTGGAATTGTATCTTGTCTTTTGGCACAAACAGTGGCACACATGAAGAATTCAGAATATCTCGTTCAAATAGCATCGATTTGAAAAGTCCCTGAGGAGCTATTCTGGCATGTCCAAGCTGTGCATGTGTTTGTCACATTCTCCAAGCCGCCACAGAATTATATATGTGAACATATTTGCATAATACATATTTAAATAAATTGTGAATGTGACATAGTGGAAGTATATACTGTAAGATATCAGCCTATTTGATGGATATCCAGAGAATCTGCTCCAGAGCAAATTTTGATTTGTTGCCTCCTTCAATTCCTGGTAATATGAGTGAAATTAATAATACCATACTTGTCTTTGCATTTCCACCGTTCCATTCATAAGCTCATCATCAGTTCCACTCCAGATCATCCCTTTTTCTCCTTCAGTTGTGCAACAAACCACATGCTTCTACATCAGTCAGCTTGCTTCTAGGTCCATAAACCAGTGGCTTCCATGAAAGAGGAATTAGAAGATAACATAAAATGCTGCTTTGGTCCAGGATGGCAATTCTTCCAGCTCGCTTGTGATCCATTCCTCCAATTAAAGTAAAACAAAATATTGGCCAAGGTTTTTGTTTGCTTGTTTTGTTCTATGCAATTGCTTTTTTTTTGCATCCCTTTTAGCTGACATAGATCATTTACAACATGGAAATTGAATGTTTGTGTTAAAACTAAAACATAGTATCCAAGCCCCCTTTTATTCAAGCAAGCAGAACCACTCGTGAATAGTCTCAAACAAAAACTTTATCGTTAGTCTCTATGTTATAGGAATCTTGCCAGACTGAATACATTCCCTTGGGAATAGATAGATAAGGCTTCAGGGATTCTGGGGGAAGTCAAGCCTGTGCGGCTTTCTGCAGTGCAAGGATTCTAAGCTCAGCCCCCTCTTAATGCCTCCCTCTACTCTAGCTGGAGATTCCACCACACTTTGCCACCAAAATAATACAAAGAATTAAATATTTTAGAGGAAGTATAAAATAAGCAGCTGTATATAGCAGACTAAATTACAAGGTGCTTTTGGTTTTAGTTTTCCTTCTTGTGTGAACTATTAACTATTGTTGATAAGGATTTATGGCTTAATGTATTAATATAGACCCAGCTGGTATGATGAACATACTATGGATCAGACAAACTGAGACATAGTGTCAACATGATCTGCGTCTGTCCAAATGATATTTAGACTCACAGTTTTATCTTCTCTTGTAGCTGTTAAACCAATTGCAAACTTACTTTTTCCTGTTTCTATTTTGGCAACTCAGTGCAACCAAAATGAGGAGCCACCAGCCTTGCCTGATGAGTCTCTATACATGATTCCTAATCATTATAATTTTACAGTAGTGTAAATGCAGAAAGCGTTACACTTTTTGATGACTTATCAGAACCTGAAACTCCTGAAAACAGCCACTCCCCTTTTGAAATATTCTTTAAAATAAAGAAGCTGAAAACCATGGATTTGACATACCAAACCAATTGGTGGGAATAACAATAATCTATGGAAAATCAAGTTTCCTTTGTTTCTGGATATCATAAACCATGCCAAAGAAACAAACATTTCATATGTAACTTTCTTGCATCATTTCATAAATAACACATTATCATATAACTACGCTCTAGCAGACATTCTTAGAGGAACAGAATTCAGGCCAAATAAGGAATCTCATCTTTGGCATTTCCTGAACTTCATCCACTTATTATTGAAAGATATCTTGAATCTTATTTTTTTTAAATCAAATTCATTTTTTTAAAGATCAAAACTAAAATAAAAATTGGGGAAACATTTTTCTAAAAAACAAAAACAAAAAACCCATATGCTTCATTATACTCTTTTTAATAACTTTTTTCCAGTTTATACTTATGGTTTTGTTTCAACTTGGTGCGTAGATTCCACATCTGGTCAGTGTGAAATCCCAGGGACCTTCCTTGCCTGCCTCTCAGTCACTGCATGAACAACCCACAAAGGGAATGGCTGGGTTTCAGGAAGCTCTAACGGTGACCTCTCACCGCACTGAGATGCCAAGGCAGAACTCGGACCCCACTTCCGAAAAGCCTCCTCTCCCCCCTCGTGTTGAAAAGTTTGATCGAAGTTCTTGGTTACGGCAGGAAGAAGACATTCCACCAAAGGTAAAAACAAATTTAAAAAAAGGAATTGTGCTAAGTTACAAAATTCGGAATAGGAAATAGCTTAGACGTCTGTGGTGGCGCTGCAGGTCTTTCAGGTGGCATTAGGGACTCTTTCCCAGTATGGCCCTGGCGACAACTGCAATTGAATGGCCAAATACATTAATATTTGAGGACATGCTTCAAATTCCTTTGAGGGCAGTAACTGTAGCTCTATGATAGACCACAAAAGGTACCAGGTTTAGCCTCTAATGGAACTAGCCAGTTTGAGCTGCCAAAATCCAGATGCCTGCTAGATGGCAGCAAAGAGATTCATACATTATATAATTGCTACTCTGAATTGGTTGCCTGGTTTTGCTTTTGCTTTTTTTCAGTCCAGATCTAGTAAAACTAGTCGCCAACAGTTCACTGCTCATTCATTCATGCATCCATCTATCCATCCATTCATGCATCCATCCATCCATCCATCTATTCATCCATCCATTCATTGCGTTTATATACTGACAAAATCCGAAGTCTCTTAATTATTTGCAGTAAAATAAATATGATGAAAGTACAGTAACTCCAGTTTAAAACATGAAGAGGCAACTGAGATAGAATGGGTTTGCCCCAGAGTTTCTACCAAAGAGCAAATGCATCAAGCAAATGCAACCCCCCATGAGAAGCACTCTCATTTTTTTTTTAATAACGTATCAGAGCCACTTTCCAAAAAGTAGTGAGTGGGGCCTTATGAAAACTTAACTGGTTTTCAGTTTCAACGTAATTATAATTAGAATCCGTATATAATATCCCTATTTTATATTGCATTTAATAATTATCTCCTTTAATCTAGTTGCAACAGAGTGAACTCTTGATAATTTAGGGTTATGTGCAACCTTATGACCTCAGGTTGTGAGACAAACATAATGACCTGGATAAAACCGAATAAAAATTCATTGATTTTCCATAGCTTCTTGTCATGAGTCCACTGAATAGTTAAAGAAACCCATTGGTAGCTATTGGCTCCCTTTTAGAGATGTGTATTTATCCAGTTTTTAAACTATATTGGCAGAAGCAATGAAGTTTTCAATCTGCAGGCACCACCTGACCTCCTCTAATAGTAGCTGTGTCTTTCTGAAAATAGACAAGGAAACTAACACAAAGGTTTCTCTTCCCATAACCTCCTAATCTGAACCCCAAATTATTCTGGACAGGCCGTCATTCCCATAAGAACTAAGGACATATAACATTTTACACAAATAATCAAAGCTAGGCAGGTTTACCATCTGTCAAATGTATTAGTACAAGTTGTTTTCTCACCTATATAGATAAATAGGGATGTTTAGCTGGATTTCCTGTTCAGTAATTAACAAAATGATCCTAGAGATGACACTGGGGGTTTGGATTCTTTTATGGAATATACCAGTCAAGGCAACAAGCAGACATTGAAACCAGTGATTGCTATATCAGACAGGAATAAGATCTTATTGTGAGCACAAATCCGTACAGCATTCCCCAGCATCATTTTGGCTGTGGAGTTCCAGGTTAAAGCAACAAGCGGTTAAAAAAATAACATGCATGAGATCAATACACTGTGCTAGCTGATAAATAATATAAAAGGCTATTAAAATAATGTTGCAGTGGATGCGGCATGTCTGTCTTTTGGCTTCCCTTTTCTTCCCTCCCGCTCTCAGCTTTGCATTTAAACAAGAAATCTGCAGTAAGCATAAAACTTGCCATACTGGATCAAACCTGTAAGCTTTCCAGGCTGACATCATGCCTCCAGATATAATCAATATTGGATAGAATATTGTAGAAGTGCTCCGGAATCTTTGTGCTTTCATTTATTTGATGGCAGCAGTAGCTCTTTAATTAATGCAGTTCCCTATGCATCTACTTAGAATTAAGTCCCACTGAAATGCATGGGCCTTTCTCCTAAGTAAGTGACCATTACGTTGCAATCTAAGGCTCTGTTCCAAACTACTAATGTAGATACTGCTGTTGATGATGATGCTTTCTTTTCTTTTGTAAAAAAAAAAATAGCTTCTTTTTCATGCTGAATCTCGGATTGCACAAACATGAAAAGAAGAAAAAGAAATAGCCGATTGATTAAATGCAGAGATGTCCCTTACAGTTTTTTTCTGAGAAAAAAATTGCACTGTGTCATGAATAATTTATACAATACTTACCAAGAAAGATTAGGGATTTTCCCCCAGATAATTTCTTTTCAAAATAAGAAGGTCACCTTAGATGACACCAGGAACAATGGTGCAGAAAACAAGCAGTGTTTTTGTGTCCAATCTTAAAGGGAGGAAATCGTCTTGAATACAGGATTATCTTTGTGATTAAGTAGTTGACAGATAAGATGACCACAAAGAGACCTCCAACCGGCTTAGAGATGGGGTTCTCGGTTAGCTGCATTTTAGAACCATAACCTATGGGTAATGTGTTATGTTGCTTGAGCTGTGAAATCAACAAAAGTTTAATCCCCTAAGATTAACAGTGAAAATAAATTATTCACTTGAAGTAGAGAGGTGAATAATTATAAAGTACATTTTTCTTTTTGAAGAAAATGACAGGCAGTTAGAACCAGGTTGTCTATGGAGATTCTCAGACATCCAGGTCATGGTTATCCCAAAGGTGCTTTTTCAAAAGGCAACTGGACTTGTATTTTTCCCTGAAGGCATTTTGTTTCTTATCCAAGAAGCTGCTTTAGTCTTCAAGGAAAAATAAATTCCGGGTTGCCTTTTGAAAAAGAATTTTCAGGACCAGGTTTATTATAAAGCTTTTGTCTATGACGGGTAGGCAACCTTGACTCTTTTATGACTCGTGGACTTCAACTCCCAGAATTCCTGAGCCAGCCTGGCTCAGGAATTCTGGGAGTTGAAGTCCACAAGTCATAAAAGAGCCAAGGTTGCCTACCCCTGGGACTCTATGAAGAGTGTGCAAAAGATTTCATTTTGAAATCTTCTGTGTATGACGTTCGTGAAATGTTCCATTTCAGCTGCAAGGTGGTTGCACTGAACATATTGGAAGCGCTAAAAAAAATGTCCACATGTTGGAAACACAAAAAATGCCCTATCTGATCGTGGCACAGAGGATTTCGTCTTTTGTGGCACCTGTGCTGTGGTATATCCTCTCTTTTTTGTATTACACCAGCCCCAACAATGACATGTTTCTCACTTCTTTTTTTTTTTTTAAATCTTTTTACATCTACCATCCTTATCACTAACTCTGCCTAACATGCCATTTAAGGGATATTTTTTCCTGTGTTTTAGTCCATTTTTATTTTACTTTTTTTCTACAATGATGATATGGTTATGAAAAATTGCTTCAAGAATTTCTGTAATTATAAGGGATTATAAAAAATATTACCATTCCATTATCACCACTAATAACAACAACAACACATTTTCCATCAGATCAGCAGCAAAATCCACAGAGGTTACAGTTAGGGTACGTGTCTATTATACAACCTTCACTATACACTATAAATGTGTTCCATTTTATCACATTTTAATGTGGAATGGTATTATCTTCATTCCTATTCAGACCAATTCAGAAATAATTTGTTGTTCGAGACCACAAACCCATCACATGAATATCTGTGCATAATTAAAAATCTGAATGTGTCTATTATAGTCAAATCTACCTCCCATAAACATTTGTGTAAATTAATCACGTATTTGTATATTCATGGCTTTTTCTCTTTGAACAAGGCCACTGCTAAACATAATATTTTATGGCTTGCTTTGGAAAAAGGCTTTATGTAGAAGATCCCAAGTTCAGTCCTTGTCATCTCTAGTAGGTATGAAAAGAAAATTGTGATTAAAACAGAGTGGCAGCAAAACACTTTCATCCAACTGATGGTGAACTACAGTTCCCATCACCCATGATTGTGCTGGCTGTACTGTTGAGACCCAAGGTCCAATAATATTTGGAAGGCCACTAAGGATAGACAATACTGATCTAGATGAACCAATTATCTGGCTTAAAATAATGCCAGTACAAAAACATACATAGTGCAGTAACATCTTGATATTCTCATCTCTGCATTGCTTATTATTACCATATTTGTATGGCTTATGATGTTAATGCTCCATTGAATTTTTGTACATCTTGGTTTTGAGTTAGCAACTGTTAGAATCTTCAAGTGGCTCCTAATCCCTGGGCTGACTTTAAAATCAATAGGGTTGCTGCACTTCTACTCTGCAATTCAATGCCTCATTATAATAACAAAATACTACCATCATTAGTGTCATTGTAGTATAATAAGTCTTGGACCTGGAGTCAGAAGATCCAGATTTTAGTTCCCACTCAATCATGGAAGCTTACTGGATAACTATCGGCCACTTGTAACCTCTCAGACGAACTCACTTCACTGAGTTCTCCACTGAGTTCTCGCAGTAGGGATAAAAGAAAAGAAAGACCCATATATAAGCCACCTCAAGGTTTCAAAGCAAGTGCCTTGCTTCTGATGAAAAATCAATTTCCTCTCTGTTTCTGTGGGACACATTAGGACACCCTTCCAAAAATCTTGGAATTTTTAGTTCCCGTATATGACTTTCTGCAAACCACATATTGGTGTGGCAACTTAAAACAAAGGTCATCAAGCCTTGATTGAAACAAGTAAGTTACCCTATGGAATTAAAATGAATACATTTCATATATTATCTTTTCTTTCTTAAAAAGGTGCTGTGGAAACACCCAAGTGCAGTTTACAGTTGCTTCGCTGAAAAAAATAATTCTATTTTGCAAGAAAAAAGCAAAGCACATTTTACTGGCAAATTTGCCTAATCTGATACTCATTACCCGTAATATGTTGGTACAGTCTGGGAGGGACTATGACAATTGGCCACGGCCAACTTGCCACAGGACAACTTGCCGTGGGACGACAGTTACACTAATATCAAAGAAATGGTGGAATAGAATCACTAAAGAAAGGATGCAAATGGAGGGACAGAATGAAATGTGAGTGATGAAAATTAAAATAATTTTATATTAAATAATTAAATTGAATTGTTGAATTGTCCTGTGGCAATTGTCCCACAGTGAGTTGGCTGTGGCTAGTTGGCAGTGGCAAGCTGGCAGTGGCAAGCTGGCAGTGACAAGCTGGCCACAGTGAGTTGTCCCATTTTGAGTCTGGTAGCCTACTTCTGGCAGCAGAACTTCAGTAGCCAGCACACTTTGGGTTTTCTTACAGGTGCCTCAGCGAACTACTTCCATCTCACCTGCATTAGCTCGGAAGAACTCACCTGGGAATGGGAATGCTCTAGGACCGCGACTCGGATCACAGCCCATAAGAGCAAGGTAACCCCAACCAAGATAAAGCTTACTATTCCTACATCTAAAGCGCTAGATTTAGAAGAGAGACACTATTGAATATTCTATGGAGGAAGAATGTCTTATTTCCTTTCCCCAGCCCTCTTGAGATGTAGACAAGAGGAACATAGCAAGTTGGGGGACTTCTACCCTATTCAGATAGTGTTGAACAGTGGTGTACACTGGGAGAGGCAAGTGGGAGAACACATATTTTGCATGGAAGTTCTGTCCCTGCCGTCTTTAGTTTTAAAAAAGCTCAAAGGAGCATGAACATACGGACACATACATGAAAAGAGTCTTGCTGGTTTGAGCAAGATCCCCTCAAGCTCAGTGTTGTGTCATAAACAGGTAACCAGATGTATTTGGGATGTATAGCCCTTTTCCACTGTTGCTTCGTAGCATCTGATATTTAAGATGCCAGTTACCTGTTCACTACCTGTATTCAAGGAAGTAATAGTGGATTATGAAGACTAGTAACTATTGATAGTCCTCCCCAGGATTTTGTCTGGTTTCCACTAAAAGCTACCTAAGCTGGTGGTCCATCACAACATCTGATGGAAGCAAATTTCACAATGTGTCACTTAAGGATTTTTTTTTCAGTCCTCAATCGTCCTATGTGTAATTTCAGCAGATGACTACATCATGAAATGGGAGAAAACCTATTTGTCTCCATAGTAGAATCTATTAGCCCCTCTTCCCCTTGGTTCACCTTAAGTTCAAAAACCCCAGTTGCTGCAGTCTTTTCACTTTCCTTTTTTGCATTTACTCTAGTGTGGTTCTTATCTTGCCTAGCACCTGAAATTCTGGGGAGCCACTGGCCTGTGTGTGTGTGTGTGTGTGTGTTTATATTTCATATTATGCTGGGCAAGAGATCTTACTTAAGTCAGCTCTTGATAAATCAGGATTTAATCTGATTTATCTAAACTAATGCATTAAGAGCTAGGGGACTGATGTAAAAGAGGAAATGGCTAAGATTTATTTAAGGCTTTGGCAGGCATTCATCTCCACAGTAATTCTGGCATATAATAGCAACAGTCTTTGCCTAAAAGGATATAAGTCTTGGATCTAGGATTTCTTGCTCTTTCTTCAATTAGTTTGTGTTTTGCATCACACTGCAGATCCTGTTGTAGTATAAAATACAAAGCCATAACCCCAAGACTCTTTTTTGACCACTGAAATTTACAACAAATGCTGTCTAAGTGGAAGATTGAAAGATTTGCTCAGAAAGGCAGAAAATCTTGGATTTTGCCTAGGAAACCTCACTCATTCTGCATCTAAAATTCCAAATGTAACAGAAACCAGTCTGAAAATATTTGCATTGTATTCAGACAAGAAAATGTTTCATCTTCTATACCTGCATTTCCCAATCGGATGGAATTTGGGATATAGGGTTGGAAATAACTAGTACGTTATTCTTAGAATGACCCAGTTAAAATAGATAACCTATGTATTATTTACCAAAATAGTTTTCCACTCAAGGTGGCATTCATAAAAGATACCCTGCTTTATTTTGGGCACAGCTGCCCTTTACTCATCTTTCCTCCTTGCTGGGATCTGAACTCTGAGAGAAAGAGCAGGATGGTGTTTGCTAATCTCACTTTAAAGAACAGTTTAAGAGTAGCTAGAGAAGATTGGATACGAACCAAGAAAACTGAGGTTCAGTGCTTATAACCTCTAGTAGAAAAGGTGGAATGTTTGTACAATAGGCACATGTATGTGTGTCCCCTCCAACAAGCAGGATTTAAATCCAGATTCCCCTTGTTCATGTCTGACTTTCAGTTCTGCGTTTGCTTTAGGCTGGATTTTTACACCTGTACTTGTTCTTAGGGAATGTCTCTTCATTAATTTGCAGTGGAATTGCTGCTTGGAGCTAGGCACTTGGTTTTCAAGTTCAAGGTCCAATGCTAGTATTTTGTTACTATATGTAGGGAATTTTCACTAACTATAAAGATGAAAGTGAGATCAAAGAAAAGATAGGACAGGATAAAGGTGGCATCCTTCTGCTAAGAAGATCCCTCTAGGTGTGTAGTACTTCAATTCTCCTAATGGCTCACAGTCAGCTTGGATCAGGAACAGGGTGAAAAAACCCACCTGGGCTGTGTGTTTTACAGTAATTGAATAGTTACATCTGAGACTGCCTATAGCAGGGGTCTTCAAACTTGGCCCTTTTTATGACTTCTGGACTTCAACTCCCAGAATTCCTCAGCCAGGTATGCTGGCTGAGGAATTCTGGGAGTTGAAGTCTACAAGTCATAAAAAGGGCTAAGTTTGAAAACCCTTAGCCTATAGAGTCCTTTTAGTCATCTCAAGATCAACTCAGCTGTTGCTTTTTGGAGGACACTAGAACAAGGCAAATAGATTAGCCAATATTAGCTGGTTTATAGTTTAGAAGTTAAATATTTGCAGCTAGTTTCAGAATGATTTTTTTAACCTGTCACTTACTGGTTTCCTTAATTTTATGGCTACCATCCCATTACTTTTAATGACTTTATTTTGGACGTGCTACTGCATCTTGTAGAAGTCAGTTTTTTAAGGTATTGCTTTAGCAGAAATTAAGGAAATCAAAACGGCATGCTGCAAGGAATTTAAATAAATGGATGATCATAGATAAGGCACTATAGTTATTTGATGTGTGTTCATTTCTTCGAGATCATATCAGTTTGCTTCCTTCTGAAGAAAGAGGCAGCTGTGGTTTAGATGTTCATGGCATAGAAACCAGACTAATCAGATTGTTACCCTGTTAGGCCGAGGGTACAAGCCACTTTCAATAACAAAAGTCTTCTAAGAAAATTTGCAGCATTGGCCAATAGAAGCATCAAAGGGTTCTCTCCCACCTAATTCACAAGAATCTTTCTAAAGAACTCGGGAAATGGATGAACAGATAAATGAGAAGCCGGCTTGGTTTAGTGGTCAAGGCACCAATGTATAAATCAGAAGACTATGAGTTCTAGCCCTGCCTTGGGCATGAAAGCTGGCTGGGTGACTGGACTATTCACTCTCTCTCAGCCCAACTCATCTTGCAGGGTTGTTGTTGGGAAAATGAGAGGAGAAGAAGTATTAAGTATATTTACTACCTTGAGTTATTTACAAGCAAATAATAAAGGCAGAATATAAATAAATAGGTATAACGTCCTCTCTTCTTTCCTCTCTCTAGTAACCCAGACCTGCGGAGAACAGAGCCCATAATAGAAAATCTGATACAGAGAACAAGCAGTGGCAGTTCTTCCAGCTCCAGCACCCCCAGTTCGCAGCCCAGTTCACAGGCTGGCTCACAACCTGGATCCCAAGCTGGCTCCAGTGAACGGAACCGAGCCAGAGGTGAGATTTTAGCCCACTCTCATACCTACAGTTTGTCCTACTTTCATTTTTGCTGCTTGAAAGGCTCTGCTCATTGGATTATCGTCTGACCACCTATAATGCTAGAAAGACTTTTCATTTCTCCCTGTGTCCTTAATTCTGTTTGTGTTTTGAATGTCTGCCTTCATATCTAACACTAAGCCCCAGGATATTTTAGCCATGAATGTTACCTTGGTTTGCTAATAGAATTAAGCCTTTAAGGGGGGGGGGCTCACACATCATGTTAAGTCCCGAAGAAGTGAACAACCTGACAGTTTAGCACAAACGATCAGCAGAGAATACCCACAGGTGCCAGGCTGTCTTCCAACCTTAAGCCATCCTGACCTCTCAAAGTAAAATTTAGTTAGCGTTCCACAAGATCACAAGTTTGTGGTAAAGTTGTAAGATATGATGAGGTCTCTAAAATCTCATTACATGTAGCTTGGGGCTCAAAATGTTGTTAGTTCCTGAGTGAAGGACACTATATGTTTTGAATGTTGAAGAAAATGGATGCCACTGGGGGTGTGTGTCCCAATTTGCTGTTTTCTCTTTCTAGTATAAAGAATTGAAGAAGTCCTTGGCAGCTGAAAGAATCCTCAACCAAATAAATAGGAAATGGTCAGAGCTGTGAATAATTGAAGTCAATACATCTGGAGGTGTCCAGACTGGAAAAGATGGGTCTAAGGCATAGCATAGCATCAAACTTTATTTCCTGATGGGGTGATTCCAAATTCGTACAACCTTCCAACTCATAGTTGGTATCAAGTTAATGAATCCCACAAAGGGAAAAGTCCTCCAATTGTTGGTTCCTCATATACAAGGCTTTTAAGATATGTGCCTGGAGGGAAATTCAATCTTGTGACCGCACCTTTTCATTTGAAGTGGTACAGCTCAGGTACAGGTTAAACTAAGCCAAACTTCCTGGAAAGGACCCCATTCTGGAGAAAGTGGTCTTAAGTAGATGTGACCTAACAAAAATACCAAAATGCCAATATGTGAGAATGGAAAGAAATGGGGGTTTCTCTCAGTGTACGCCAAGGATCTTCAAACTTGGCCCCTTTATGACTTGTGGACTTCAACTCCCAGAATTCCTCAGCCAGGCATGCTGGCTGAGGAATTCTGGGAGTTGAAGTCCATAAGTCATAAAAGGGCCAAGTTTGAAGACCCCTAGTGTACGCACGCATTGAGATCTAGGCTCAGCAAAGATTACAGTCAACATCCAAAGAAAATGGGATTTTCTGAAGCAGACCTTCTCTACCCTGCCTCATGCTCCCTGCCTCAATTTGATCTTTAATCTGTTTTACACTGGATTTCTTCTTTGCCCAGGAAATGCCAAGCTTGAAGGATCACCTATACTACTACATGAACCAGCCAAGATAAAGCAGGAAGATAGCAAGGAGGTGACCCGGCCAAGTCGACCTGCTGTGAGTCCTATGTAGCTATTGTGATAGCCATCGGTCATATATGAGCAGCATATGCTTCTGCCTTCTTATTTTTTTTATCTGATGAATAATCTCTCCACAACTTTTGTACAATTTGTTTGGGGGGGGAGGGAGAAGAAACAAGTATCCAACACATTTAAAGTATACTTCAGGTATACTTTGTATACCTGAAGGTGCTATAGTACAGGTAGTCCTTAACTTACGGCCACAATTGAACCCCAAATTTTTTGTTGCTAAGTGAGAAATTAGTTAAGTTAGTTTTGCCCTTCCTTGCTCCATTGGTTAAGTGAATCACTGCAGTTGTTAAGTTAGTAACACAGTTGTTAAGTGAATCAAGCTTCCCCATTGACTTTGCTTATCAGAGGATCGCAAAAGGATCACATGACCCCAGGACACTGCAACCGTCATAAATATGAGTCAGTGGCCAAGGATCCGAATTTTGATCACGTGACCATAGGGATGCTGCAATGGTCATAAGTGTGAAAAACGGTCATAAGTCACTTTTTTCAGTGCTGTTGTAACTTCAAACGGTCACTAAACAAACTGTTGTAAGTCGAGGACTACCTCAACTTGTCTCAATTGTCTTGTCTAGTTTCTAATCACTTGTTGACCTTGTTGTCATTATCTGCACTTGTTTTTATTTGGGGGAATCTTTCAAGAAATTCTGGCTTGGTTCAACACAAGATGAAGCACAGCTCAGTGCCTTGATTCGTGACCAAAAGAAGCAGACGAGAAGGAATTTAATTAAACGACCCCTACCCTGTGCCAAATCTAAACTACCATTATTTTTGCTAGAGGCTTCACAAAGGCATGTAACAAGCTGACTGCACCATTTCATACCAATTTGATTTTGCATTTTGACATTTTGAATTTCTAAATTGGATTTGGGTGTAGAAGAAATTTCTTTGTTGTTTTGTTTTTCTCTTTTTACGGGGATAATTTTTAATTTGTTTCTAACCTACCTCTTAGTTTTTCTGACATTTTCTTTTTTATTGATAACATTTATAAGTTTATTTTCCTATTCTGATCTCTTTCTCCTGCTGCTAATTAATTCACCATTACTCCCAAGCCTATAATAAAGCAATAGAGAAGGTTAGCAGTGTCTATTCTAGGTTTGTCGTGCCCTTGCATAAAGTTATGCTTAAAATCAAGCCCTACTTTCTTGTTTGCTAACATCTAACAAAAAGGCTGTTGCTAATTGTAATTCCAGAGGAAAGATCTTAATATAACTAGAGAAACCCTCTCTCTAAATGGAAAAGTGGGTGTAAGTGACATGTAAAACTTTTATTTAACTTGTCTTCCATCTTGATGTCCTTAACCCACTCAGATAAGATTGAGGCACATTAGAGTTATAATGATAGTAGGAACCAAAATGAACTCTATAGTCTAGATTTTTCCCCCCAAATAGAAAAGTCAGTTCTGATTAAAATGTTGTCTGTTGTCTCAGATATTTGCTGAAATATGGAAATTGTACTTTCTTCAGATCTGTTTGAGTAAAAGTTATATGTAGATCTAGATTTTTTAGGTTTCAAACTCACCATTTTAAGATCATGTGGTAAAGACTTCAAAGCCACATGAGAACAAAAGGAAGTGTCACCAGAGATATTATTACTGTATCTTGGGATCTATTTAGAGCTCATGAGGTGAATCAGAGCTGCCATGCAGGTATCTTCACTGATTCTATTCTATTCTATTCTATTCTATTCTATTCTATTCTATTCTATTCTATTCTATTCCATTCCATTCCATGTCATGGTTGCTGAAAGCATAATTCCCCAACCCAGACAGAAGTGACATGTAGCTGCTCATGTGTTTTGGGTATGTGTGTTCCTTATAGACCAGTGGTGGTGAACCTATGGCACGCGTGCCAGAGGCGGCACTCAGAGCCCTCTCTGTGGGCACGCGTGCCGTGCCCTGGAGAGGGTGAGGGACTGGCCCCGCCCACCCAGTCTGCCATGACCACCGCGGCCACGCCCACCTGGCACCCAGTGATAAATAAGTGGGTTTTGGGTTGCAGTTTGGGTACTGGGTCTCTAAAAGGTTCGCCATCACTGTTATAAACCCTTCAACCTTTTTTAAAAAATCAACAAATGCTATTTTCCACCATTTTGAATCAGAAAGGGCTACATCTTTTATAGGCAAAACATCATGTAAAAACCAAAGCAAGCCTCCAAACTTGACTTCCCTAAAATTCAGGAAGCAAAGATCCATGCTAGTCATGTACCCTATCTAGACTGCATCATCAATTGTTCCAGTTGCAGAGTGTAGGTTATTTGCTTTTGACCTTGCTGGATCTAATCTTCACAATTCCTTTTTCTGCACATTCCCAAACTGTACATCCCTCCAAGTTAGGATATCTAAACTGAAGGAAGAGAAGACAACTAATCAAAGGTCAGGAAGTATGTTCATAAATCCCAGATTCAAGCTGACTTAGGAAAATATGGCAGAATCTTCACTAAACTACTATTACATCAAAGATGAGTGGTACCTTTATTATAGTTTTTGTCCATGCAGGTTAAGAAGTACCTTCCCAGAAATATCTTCTGCTTCAATTCTGAAAATATAGAAAGGCCATTCACAAGTCTTCCAACCATGTAAAGCTGCTCTGAGACATGTTACATTGAACAACAGTCTATCTGTAATACACTGAGGATTAAAATAGTTGTTTTCATGTGTGATTGGAAGCCTAGAAATCTAAGAAATCAAACATTTAGGCTCAGTTGGAGATCCCTTTCTCTTGCTTGAATGATTTGTGAGCAGTAATTATATGAAACGCTACCTTTGATATCCAAAGTATAACAGGCTTGCAGATGAGAATGTGTAAGCCAATTTTTTTTTTTTTACTATTTAATTCTCTAGTTGGATGATAGCGAGCGGACTAATTTAAAAGTAATACGATGTATTGCTGTAGGTAATTGGAAACAATCCAGTCAGAATGAATGAGTCATTCATTACTGGACTTTGAAAGGTATATTAAAAAAATATTCCTTCTGCCCAAATCTTAATTGGGCTTGTTTTCATTTGGGGAGGGAGTTGACCTAAGCAATTAAAACCAAGGGATTGATTTGTTAGTAATGAAAATATTGGCTTAGATTAGAAATTAATTATGATGTTTGTTGATAATGGAAGCCATGGCGACAGTATTATTTAGTTGTGTAAAAAGGAACACAGTGGGGTGGTGATCATTATTCTATGATTATTAATATTGATTTGAAGGTGATGATGCTTACTCTTGTTGTTCATTATTTGATTGGCTATGCCTTTCCAATGTAGTTCAAGGCAGCTTCCATAAGATTTGCTCCCCCTTCAATTTTTAGATTTGAAAATTTTGTGGGGGAGAGTATTCACAACTCCTAATTGTGTTGTAATAGCGAATATTATCTTATTTGTTTGTCATAACTAACAAAACTATATGACTTTCAAAAATAATTATCTCTAACATACAGCATTAGGTTTCTTGTTGCTTCAAGTTACCAAAACCTGGATGAATGGATTGTTAACATTAGTTACATAATTATGATTTGGTCAGGTCACTTTGTTAGTTGCTTAAAGTAACAAGTGCACCTTTATAAATGTGATATTTGGATATGAGTCTCAAGATACAGAAGGTCTCCATTTTTAAAAATTATAATAATAAAAGTCTCAATTTTAACAAATGAAGTAGAGCAATTGCCATCTCAACATGTGTCTCTAATGTCGGATCTTCTAGAAACTTCTGTAAAACTCTCCACTGTCGACCTTTTCTTGAACAACTATTTTTTTATAGCTCAGTCTCCATTTGTAAAATATCAGATTAACTAAAAATGCTGAGAATTCCTTGTGGATTGGATTCACAATATTTTTGCACTGAGATAATAAATCAGTAATCATCAGTAGTCAAATCCTCACACTAATGAATAAAATAGCTGTGCTTTTAAAGCAGAACAAATAATCTTACATAGCAATGCTATGCTAATATGTTATAACTTTAGGATAATCTTTGTTTTAATAAGCTATTTTAATTAATCAGGGTAGAATCAGTTTGAAATTATCTTGGTATAGTTTTCTGTTTCATGTTATGTGTTGTTATGTATTGAATTTGATAGTATTGCAAAGTTTGAATTGTTAGCTTCATGAAGTAAAATCTCAATTGGATATTATTTATATTTTGAGACTCCTGATTTTGTAATGTCTTAAAGTTTGCAAAATGATTTCCTGTAATATGGAATGAATTTGATTAACTTTACATTTATAATTTCTGCAATATTTCAAAACAATAGACATTATACAGTAGTTTAGGCAATTAAAATCAGGTATTTGATTGATTGAAAAATTCTCCCACTAGTTGATTGTTCTATTTATATATCAACCTGCCCATAGAGTTCAATATACTTGAGATAGATTTTGTCCATAAAGTTTTACAAAATGGCTAGAAAGGGTCACAATTTGACCTGGAATAGTATTAGCCTTGATGAATAGAAGGAAGATGACACTTTGCTCTTTGTATTCCTTGCACAAACGCTATAGACGTGATATAGTTTATAAGATATACATGGAATTAAGGAGAAACTTCCAAACAGTGAGAACAATTAACCAGTGGACTAGCTTGCTTTCAGAAGTTATGAATGCTTCAGACAGTGGACAGCTACTTTTCCAAAATGGTATAGGTCTCCAGCTTGAGCAGGGGGTTAGACTAGAAGACCTCCAAGATCCCTTCCAGCTCACCTCTGAATTTAAATTTGAATTTAGTGAAGCAAGTTGACTGCAGAAGTATCAAAGAGAACTCCACTGAGACTGGATTGTTAGTTTTTTTTAATTCTGTTTCTCCTATCAGGATGTAAAAAGACCATTTGTTTTTCTTTTTAAGAGATCATTCCAAGACATTTTAAGAAAAAATTAATTGTATGGTGCAGGAAAAAGTGAATATAGCCAGAGGAACAAACAAACCAACAGTGTAGAAACTTGAAATTTGTTCAATGAGTTTCTTTTTCCCTAATCTTTTATTTCTGGCCAAATATGCTAATAGCTTCCTTATTCTTAATATAAGCGAGAGGTTGTAAGATAGTTGATTGCAATTGTTTTGATTATCTTGTGCTTGCTTAGTGCAATCTCTTCTAACTTATTTAATTAAATCTATTGTGATTTTTATTTTTGCCCTACTGTTTTGCTTTGAGTGGCTATGAAAACATGTAAGATTACGATAAATATTTTTGTACAGTTCTTACAACTTTTTATCTCAAAGCAACACTATTAAGATATAAATGGGGACCCTTAAATGTTGTGTTAAATGAAAAATTCTTTGTGACTAGTTATCTAGGTTCTAGCATTATGATTCATGGCAAATTTTGCACATGTGTGCGTGTCCATCACATGCATTCGCACGCATATATTATAAAATACACCACTGCCTGTATCTTTTGTACATCATTATGCATGATTCAAGCTGTTGTGTGAGCTTTCCATATATACAGTTAGTGATGTTCATAGATAAGGAACCCACTTGATACGTTGCACTAAATTTCTAAAGAGATGGATATAAAGAGGTCCACATGCCTGCATGGCAAACATAATAGCCAAAGTTAATTCAGTTAGCATAATCTAAAGTCCTTGGTACTTGGTCGTGGTTGACCTCATGCACTTCAGTTCCTCTTAAATGTCCTTAGATGGAAAAATGTGCAGATTTTGGATCTTCCAAAATGTATATTTAGAATCAATACCCATCGGAGGTGACATTGTTCCCAGTTTACTATGATGGCGACTGCATTCTTGTATCTGCTATAGCTATAAATAGATTTAGATATGCTGATATGATAATGAGCTTGTGTGTGTCATGACATCATGCAAATGACAAAAATTCATTTGTGTCATTTGCATGACATAATGTTCAAGATGTCATTTCCCCTTCCCCTTGATAGTCTTGTACATGTCCATAGAAGGCTATAAACACATGTTTATCTGTAACCTGTATGTCAGCAGGTTTGCTGTTAGGTTTTTCAATGAGTATAAAGCCAGGGTTTTGTACAACAAAATCTACACATTCCATAACGTGTAGCCTTCTATCAGATGGCTATTGCATTTGCTAATCCCCATCCCATCCCTTCTGTAGTTCAGGTGAAAATTAACATTTGTTTCTGGGTTTTTCCCTTCTCGTACAGGATCTGACTGCTTTAGCAAAAGAACTGCGGGAGCTGCGGATTGAAGAAACCAACCGGCCTTTAAAGAAAGTTACCGATTATTCCTCTTCCAGTGAAGAGTCTGAAAGCAGCGAAGAGGAGGAAGAGGACGGAGAAAGCGAAACACAAGATGGCACTGTGCCTGTCAGCGACATCCCAAGGCTTATGTAAGGCATTCTTTCTTGGTGAAGATAAATCCACAAATACACCTTATTTGGACCTGCTGGTTGGAATATTATTCTGTAGACTGTTAGCTGGAAAACCATCCCCATAATGCATACAAAAGATTTCCCACCGGATTAGGCCAGGAACTTAGTCTCCTGCTCTCTCTTTCTGCCCAAACAGAAGTAAACAAATGCACAACAGCAATGGTGAAGGGACCCAACAAGTAAATACAGACACTTTCATTAGATGATTTGGTAAGGAATCAGATGATGGCAGTAGGACATAGGTGAGCAAAATGGGGCCCTAGAGCCACATACCAGCCCCCTTCTTTGTGGTTTCTTGAACCACTTCTAAAGGGGGGCTGGTTTTCAGTCACTTTGAAGTAAGAGATGTAAGAAAATACATTGTAAGCTATAAAGATACTTCTCTGAATCAATCAATCAATACCCCCAATTCCTCTCCCTTAAAAAACAATGGGAATGTCCATAGATATATCCCAACTCTGTTTGCTTTACATCATTGCCCCACTCCCTATTGCAGCTCTCCTGCTTCCAAAATGCATTAAGTGCAAGCATCAGCCACTGAAATTATTCATCCCTGTAATACAATTATATGGACCACGGGCTATATCTGGCCCTTCGGTTGTCCCTGTCTAGCCCACAATGGCCGGGGGGAGGGGAGCGGGACTGCAGTGGTGGCAGCAACGATGACAGCAGCCCTTAACTGTCCCAGTTTCTCATGTGGCCACTTGGGAAAATGAATTGCCCACACCTGCTCCAATGATAAGAATTTCACTGAGCAAGTTAGCTGAATAAGAGTTCTTGCCCATGAAGACTTAGCTGTCCAAGCCCTACTGTCCACCTTGAAGTGAAGTTCCTACTACAGTGATGGCGAACCTTTTAGAGACCGAGTACCCAAACTGCAACCCAAAACCCACTTATGCATCGTCTGGTGGCCCATTGGGTGGGTGTGGCTGTGGTAACAGCAGACTGGGTGGGACTAAAAAGTTCAATCAATCAATTCCAATTTTGCAAGATCTTTTTTTTTCCTGCGAGAAGTTGAAATTGACTGATTGAATTTTTTTTTTGTACATGGCGGCGGAGGCCTAAAGCGAAAAGGTTTTATAAAACCCAACTGAAGGCCTAGGACTGGGGCAACAGCGCACGTGCCCACAGAGAGGGCTCTGAGTGCCACCTCTGGCACCCGTGCCATAGGTTCGCCACCACTGTCCTATTACAATATCTATGAAGTAGCAAACTTGGCCTCCATAAAGTGTATCCTTTATGTAGCAAGAGTCAATCCTGTCTGTCTATGGAATGTAATTCTCTAATACATTTTTTTCTCATTCTCATACTGAAGAATGGATGGGAATGGATCTTTTGACAATCCCAGCATTTTTTTTTAAAAAAACCCCTCTCTGAGGTCTTCTATATTTCAAATATAGAGATTGCTACTTTATTTGGCAGGCACCACCTTTAATATTTGAACATGTCATTGCCATTTGCATCAACACACACTTCAGCGATTTCTTGAAATTCTGAAGGCTGACCAAATTCAACAGTCTGTCCGGTTCATGATCAGAGCATCGTTTAATTTATCTTTCTATAAATNGGCAGTTAGTTTATTTGTATTTTGCTTAATGTGGTGAAAAATATTCTGTATTGCAATTTTACATTGGAGAGCTGTCAGAAATAAAAGTGCCTCATTGGGACGTATGCACTTGACAATAATGCTAGCCAAGGGAATAACTTTGAAAATAGTCTATTTGTGGCAAGAACTGCCTGCCTGAAATATAGTCATATAACATTAATTTACTTATCCCTAATCCCATTCATCTAGCTTCTGCTCAATACAAGAGGAATCTCATACTATGGATTATAATGGTATGGTGAATACTTGAAAATGTTACAATACTAGGGATCAAAATAGGCAAGATGATGGCCTATTGGGTACTTCATCACTGGAAATTTTTAAGAAGAGATTGGACAGCCATTTGTCTGAAATGGTGTAGGGTCTTCTGCTCAAGTAGGGGGTTGGACTAGAAGACCTCCAATGTCCCTTCCAACTCTGTTATTCTGGTACTGTAATCAAAACCCCATTCCTTTATATATGAGCATGATAGTCATGCAGGAACGAAAGGTGCGGCTTTGATTGTGATGCAGTAACCAGCCACCAGATTGATTCCCTGCTTCCCTGTATATGCTGATTCTGGGTAGCCAGGTAATTCCTGAAGAAGTCTTCAGCATCAGCTTGATGGGAGTATGTTATGCTCTGATGTATAGAGTAAAAGATGGATAACATGGGATACAAGTTTCCCATATAAAGATTCATTATACAATTCTCGTTTCTTTGTCCTTGAAGTTAGTTCAGAAAATACATTTCATGGAGTGGTCAGAATTGTATATTATTAGAATATGATAGGAAGAAGCACAGGATGAACCAAAAATGTAATATCAAGCTTGGTGTTCCTCTTTCAAACCAAATTTGCCATTTGGGATCCGAACCTACCTCTTTGCAATTGCTTCTTCAGCCAATAAATGTCAAGAATGAGAGAGACCAACATTTTGGAAACATGAGAAAGAATCCTTTAGCTTCTGGTCCTGATTTTCATATATCTTGCCAGTTACGAATCTTTTAAGGTTTTTTTTTTCTATAGTTGTCATGAGAAACCAACAGCTTCTTTCTCCTTTCTTCTTGTTTTGAAAACTTCTATTTTTCAGACCAACGGGAATGCCAGCCAACAACGAGTCCTACAATCTAGGAATGGTATCAAGTCATGGTGGTCTGGAGCCCCCACACCCTGATAAATTTAGCAGTATTTCAAGAGAAGGGACTTTAATGATAAGGGAGGTAAGTGGGTGGCAACTATTTTTCTGTGCAGTGTCTTTGAGAGATAATGTCTTTGTAGGCTATGAATAATAATTACACTGTGTATTCTGAGCTCAGAGTGATTGATTAAACTGTGCTGGTTTGCAGCTGATTAATATAATTATAACATCTAAACAAAAGATGTGTCTTAACTATAAACAGCACTGAACATTGTAGGACACAGCAAGGTTGTTTTCAGATCTTCATCTTCTTTCAAGCTGACTTTAAAGCATGCAACTTGCACAAAATTGATATTGTGAAAGTGAAACAGAAGCTTGGTTCACATACTATATGGAAGAGACTCTCAGTTACTAATTTAGATTAATTATATTTCTTATCACACCAATTGTTATATGTTAGTCTATATTCAGAGAAGAAAAGGAAAGAAAAGTCATTGATAAAAAATACACTTGTATTGTTTTTTGTAACATAATAGGGACAAGACAGTTGCACTAATGTAACAAAGGAGGCCTTCAGTAAAAGTTATTGAGGCAAAGCTAGAACCCTTTGTGGTGTGCCATAATTAATATCCTGTCATTGATAGATGAACTTTTGCTAATATCTGGTAGATCACGATGATAAGGGACTGCACCAAACATTGTCCCAAAGGTGCTTTTCTACAACTGGATTTTCTTGGTTTTTTTTTTTCCCTTGAAAATATTTCTCTTCTCCTTCTTTGATGAGAAATGAAACATTTTCAAGCACTTTTGGGACAACCATGAGCTGGATGATTGGGAATCTTCATAGATCAGGGGTCCCCAACCCCCAGTCCGTGGACCAGTACTAGGCCACGGCTTGCTAGCAACTGGTCCACACAAACAAGCAAAGCCCCATCTGCAGGCAGCATACAAAACCTCTCTCCATGGAACTGGTCCCTGGTGCCCAAAAGGTTGGGGACCTCTGCTATAGACGTTTGCACCAAACATCATTTGCTTAGGCTGCCTCCTGATAAAATGTTTCTTCCTGGAGAAAGAATACTGCTTTCCTCTCTTTGTATGAAAATAGTAGGTTTGCTTGATGATATTGTCAAGACAAAAGGTCAGATTGTAGGAGGCAAGTGAAGGCAGGATAATTTAGCTAGGGGCATGAGCCAGCCCATATTCTGTCTTGTTTTGTCTCATAAGGACACACATTGATTCAGATCCACTCTCTTTTATCCCATTCTGTCTTTCATTCATGAGTTAGTGCCATTCCCTCCCTCTTTTCTCTTCCTTCGAAACATTATCTATATATCATGAAAACAATCTTGGGAGAAAGGTCATCTATCTTTTTTTTTTCTTAAACCATATTGCTGTACAAGTGGAAGAAGACGACTCATAATCAGAACTCCTATCTTAAGAAAAAGGGGCACCATCAGTGTATTATTCACAAGTACACCTGACATCTTACATGAGGTTCACTAGCACTGTCCAGTAATCATCTGTGATGTTAAATGAACAACTTCCCTTTGTGAGGAAACAGTAGTGTTGCTTATTGTTGAAGCCAGTTATAGTTTCTTTTTAGAAGCAAGCAAGCAATTTTATTTCTGGTACAGTGAGACCATTTGCTTTTTCTAGCCATATTCTTGTCTTTCCATTGTGGTGACGAGCTAGAACGATCTCAGGGTATTTCTTTGTATAGAGTACACGCCCCATGTAATTGTCAAGCTAGTCGCTGGCTCCTTTCCCTACTTCTGCCATCCCTCAAAGAGGTAATAGAAGGCACATGCTCCAGGGCTCACAGGTTATGTCTAAACATCTATTTTGGCCCTGTGACCTGGAACTGCAGCAAATAGACGTGGAACAGAGCACCTATAATGGGACGGAAAAAATATAGGTGGCAAAATTGATACCTAAACAGTAGTTGAGGCATCTTAAGTTTTCAGTCTCGTTTTTCTGACTGGGCCAATAATCACCTTCTAAGTCTTAAAACAGTCCTTCCCCAATGCAGTTTATTAATAGAGCTTGACTGTTTTAGAAAATGTTAAGTTCTAGTATTTTCCTCCTCTGGATTTTGTTGGCATCACCCCAGGTTTTAAGGTCTGCTGTAAAACAATATCTATGAAAGCCTTCTACTTTTCACATCCTTTTCCCTCTTTAAAATATGATTCTTGTGCAAACTAAACCTAAGATAATGACATAATCCAGATGGTAGCGGAGAAGTTCTCCTAACCTGTTGCCATAAAATGTGGGCTGTACCAAAGTAGTACAATAGGAAGGATAAAGTAGTGAGCTGGCGTCTTTCCTTCTGTCTTTCTCTCCTTCTCTCCTCTCTTTCTCTCTCTTTCTCTCTCTCTCTCCCTCGTCTTTTTTTTTTGCATTTGGCAAAAATCATGTGCAAAATTGCATTTGTGCTTTCTTTGTATAATCCTTGTTTCTCCCTCTCTCTCTCCCTCCCTCTCTCCCCCCCNGGCAGTTAGTTTATTTGTATTTTGCTTAATGTGGTGAAAAATATTCTGTATTGCAATTTTACATTGGAGAGCTGTCAGAAATAAAAGTGCCTCATTGGGACGTATGCACTTGACAATAATGCTAGCCAAGGGAATAACTTTGAAAATAGTCTATTTGTGGCAAGAACTGCCTGCCTGAAATATAGTCATATAACATTAAATTACTTATCCCTAATCCCATTCATCTAGCTTCTGCTCAATACAAGAGGAATCTCATACTATGGATTATAATGGTATGGTGAATACTTGAAAATGTTACAATACTGGGGATCAAAATAGGCAAGATGATGGCCTATTGGGTACTTCATCACTGGAAGTTTTTAAGAAGAGATTGGACAGCCATTTGTCTGAAATGGTGTAGGGTCTTCTGCTTGAGCAGGGGGTTGGACTAGAAGACCTCCAATGTCCCTTCCAACTCTGTTATTCTGGTACTGTAATCAAAACCCCATTCCTTTATATATGAGCATGATAGTCATGCAGGAACGAAAGGTGCGGCTTTGATTATGATGCAGTAACCAGCCACCAGATTGATTCCCTGCTTCCCTGTACATGCTGATCCTGGGTAGCCAGGTAATTCCTGAAGAAGTCTTCAGCTTCAGCTTGATGGGAGTATGTTATGCTCTGATGTATAGAGTAAAAGATGGATAACATGGGATACAAGTTTCCCATATAAAGATTCATTATACAATTCTCATTTCTTTCTCCTTGAAGTTAGTTCAGAAAATACATTTCATGGAGTGGTCAGAATTATATATTATTAGACTATGATAGGAAGAAGCACAGGATGAACCAAAAATGTAATATCAAGCTTGGTGTTCCTCTTTCAAACCAAATTTGCCATTTGGGATCCGAACCTACCCCTTTGCAATTGCTTCTTCAGCCAATAAATGTCAAGAATAAGAGAGACCAACATTTTGGAAACATGAGAAAGAATCCTTTAGCTTCTGGTCCTGATTTTCATATATCTTGCCAGTTACGAATCTTTTAAGGTTTTTTTTTTCTCTATAGTTGTCATATGAGAAACCAACAGCTTCTTTCTCCTTTCTTCTTGTTTTGAAAACTTCTATTTTTCAGACCAACGGGAATGCCAGCTAACAACGAGTCCTACAATCTAGGAATGGTATCAAGTCATGGTGGTCTGGAGCCCCCACACCCTGATAAATTTAGCAGTATTTCAAGAGAAGGGACTTTAATGATAAGGGAGGTAAGTGGGTGGCAACTATTTTTCTGTGCAGTGTCTTTGAGAGATAATGTCTTTGTAGGCTATGAATAATAATTACACTGTGTATTCTGAGCTCAGAGTGATTGATTAAACTGTGCTGGTTTGCAGCTGATTAATATAATTATAACATCTAAACAAAAGATGTGTCTTAACTATAAACAGCACTGAACATTGTAGGACACAGCAAGGTTGTTTTCAGATCTTCATCTTCTTTCAAGCTGACTTTAAAGCATGCAACTTGCACAAAATTGATATTGTAAAAGTGAAACAGAAGCTTGGTTCACATACTATATGGAAGAGACTCTCAGTTACTAATTTAGATTAATTATATTTCTTATCACACCAATTGTTATATCTTAGTCTATATTCAGAGAAGAAAAGGAAAGGAAAGCCATTGATAAAAAATACACTTGTATTGTTTTTTGTAACATAATAGGGACAAGACAGTTGCACTAATGTAACAAAGGAGGCCTTCAGTAAAAGTTATTGAGGCAAAGCTAGAACCCTTTGTGGTGTGCCATAATTAATATCCTGTCATTGGTGGATGAACTTTTGCTAATATCTGGTAGATCACGATGATAAGGGACTGCACCAAACATTGTCCCAAAGGTGCTTTTCTACAACTGGATTTTCTTTGGGTTTTTTTTCCCTTGAAAATATTTCTCTTCTCCTTAACTTCTTTGATGAGAAATGAAACATTTTCAAGCACTTTTGGGACAACCATGAGCTGGATGATTGGGAATCTTCATAGATCAGGGGTCCCCAACCCCCAGTCCGTGGACCAGTACTAGGCCACGGCTTGCTAGCATCCAGTCCACACAAACAAGCAAAGTCCCATCTGCAGGCAGCACACAAAACCTCTCTCCGTGGAACTGGTCCCTGGTGCCCAAAAGGTTGGGGACCTCTGCTATAAACGTTTGCACCAAACATCATTTGCTTAGGCTGCCTCCTGATAAAATGTTTCTTCCTGGAGAAATAATACTGCTTTCCTCTCTTTGTATGAAAATAGTAGGTTTGCTTGATGATATTGTCAAGACAAAAGGTCAGATTGTAGGAGGCAAGTGAAGGCAGGATGATTTAGCTAGGGGCATGAGCCAGCCCATATTCTGTCTTGTTTTGTCTCATAAGGACACACATTGATTCAGATCCACTCTCTTTTATCCCATTCTGTCTTTCATTCATGAGTTAGTGCCATTCCCTCCCTCTTTTCTCTTCCTTCGAAACATTATCTATATATCATGAAAACAATCTTGGGAGAAAGGTCATCTATCTTTTTTTTTTCTTAAACCATATTGCTGTACAAGTGGAAGAAGACGACTCATAATCAGAACTCCTATCTTAAGAAAAAGGGGCACCATCCAAATAATAAGGGAGAGATCAGTGTATCATTCACAAGTACACCTGACATCTTACATGAGGTTCACTAGCACTGTCCAGTAATCATCTGTGATGTTAAATGAACAACTTCCCTTTGTGAGGAAACAGTAGTGTTGCTTATTGTTGAAGCCAGTTATAGTTTCTTTTTAGAAGCAAGCAAGCAATTTTATTTCTGGTACAGTGAGAGCATTTGCTTTTTCTAGCCATATTCTTGTCTTTCCATTGTGGTGACGAGATAGAACGATCTCAGGGTATTTCTCTGTATAGAGTACACGTCCCATGTAATTGTCAAGCTAGTCGCTGGCTCCTTTCCCTACTTCTGCCATCCCTAAAAGAGGTAATAGAAGGCAGCTCCAGGGCTCACAGGTTATGTCTAAACATCTATTTTGGCCCTGTGACCTGGAACTGCAGCAAATAGACGTGGAACAGAGCATCTATAATGGGACGGAAAAAATATAGGTGGCAAAATTGACACCTAAACAGTAGTTGAGGCATCTTAAGTTTTCAGTCTCGTTTTTCTGACTGGGCCAATAATCACCTTCTAAGTCTTAAAACAGTCCTTCCCCAATGCAGTTTATTAATAGAGCTTGACTGTTTTAGAAAATGTTAAGTTCTAGTATTTTCCTCCTCTGGATTTTGTTGGCATCACCCCAGGTTTTAAGGTGTGCTGTAAAACAATATCTATGAAAGCATTCTACTTTTCACATCCGTTTCCCTCTTTAAAATATGATTCTTGTGCAAACTAAACCTAAGATAATGACATAATCCAGATGGTAGCGGAGAAGTTCTCCTAACCTGTTGCCATAAAATGTGGGCTGTACCAAAGTAGTACAATAGGAAGGATAAAGTAGTGAGCTGGCGTCTTTCCTTCTGTCTTTCTCTCCTTCTCTCCTCTCTTTCTTTCTCTTTCTCTCTCTCTCTCTCTTCTTTTTTTTTGCATTTGGCAAAAATCATGTGCAAAATTGCATTTGTGCTTTCTTTGTATAGTCCTTGTTTCTCTCTCTCTCCCTCCCTCTCTCCCCCCCCTCTCTCTCTTCCTCTCTCCCTCTCTCCTAAATAAATCATTGCCCTCTGATTAAATCGAGAGTTTTAAATTGAGAGTTTTAAGAATTGTGGCAGATGCCGTTTATGCAGCCTGGGGTAATCTCTTTCAGGTACATTACCCTGTTCTACAGCCCTCCCTTAATAAGTGACACATTAGACACAAACAGCAGGTTGCTGCAGCTGTAACATACTGCTGACAATTTCTGCCAGACTTGTAATATAGCTAAAATGGCATCAACTGGCTTTATTTTCCTTTTTTTTTTCTTTTTCATTGCCAGCAGAGACTGGAAGAAAGAGCAGACTTTTTTTCTTTTGCTGGATTAGATTGCATTTCTCCAAGCACAGATGGAAGTGGGGGAAGGGAAGGGATGCTGCAATGGAGGCACCTAAACTTCATCAAAAATAATACACAACTAAGCTTCTGTGCCTGCTGGGACAAAAATAATCTTACTAATCTGTGCAGGGAAAACCCAAAACTGCTCATGCACCTCAACCTAGAGTAGCCACTGTGAAAAATAATCAGCTTGGGAAAAATGGCCAGCGGCTTTGGTGAATTCCAGATTATAGATTGGGCTTGGGCTACCTACACCTTCTGTTGTTGGTGGCCATGTGAAAAACTAGTGACTGTGTGTTTGTGTGTTTATGTGTGCATTTGTTTTTTAACACAAGTATTAGTACAGAGATAACACAGTATGATGCCCCAGAGCTGGACATAACTCTGAATGCCTTGGTTACACATATACACATAGCAAGGCTGCCAACTGGAATGAAGAGGACTGAAAGGAGAAGTTATTAAATCAATGGGAAGCAATCCCAGTTAATGTAGGTCAAGTGTGCATTTGATTAGGAACTGATTTGATGAGGTTAAAATACAGTGATTTTTTTTGTCCAGGCCCCGCCTTCTTTTTAGGGTGGCCCTGAGTGAGTGAATAAAGGGAGGCCAAGACCATTACAAGCCAAAACCATGTAATTCTTTGTGGTTAAAATAAAATGCTACTTTGTATAGGTTTTTTTTTGTAATTACCATGGCATTTTTAAGGTAGTAGGCAAAATGCCAATAACTGCCCTGTGCGGTTATAGATATATAAATGATGCCACAAAAAAGCTGCCAGATGTGGAACTACCATGTCAACAATGGAAAATCCTGAATAGGATTTGCACCTCTGCCAGGATTCTCTATATAAATGGGGCATGGTATCCTCCCCTCAGTGTGATTGTGGGGTCTCACGTCAAACTCTAGATTACATTGTGATTGACTATTAGCTGAGGGCCTATATTGGTCCAATATCTGATTTTTTAAAATATAAATGATGCTGCGCTTCAATGGTTAGATGGCCTAGGCCAGGGGTCTTCAAACTTGGCCCTTTTATGACTTGTGGACTTCATGCCGGCTGAGGAATTCTGGGAGTTGAAGTCCTCAAGTCATAAAAGGGCCACGTTTGAAGACCCCTGGCCTAGACAATGGTATTTGAACATAGATCTTTTCAACATTTATATTTTATTGTGTTTTATTAATCTAGGTGAAAAGTTAATATGTATATTGCTAGTTCATATATGATATACAATAAATAAATAAATAAATAAATAACTGCCCTATGCCAGCATCTAAATCCAAATTGCTGGTTTGGAGGCAGTGATCCTGCCAGAATAGAGCATATTTTCTCCAAACAACCTTATCAGCTACCAGAGTCCCACTGGGGTCCCACATAAGCTTTCTTCTCTTTTACATGCTAATCTTGGTAGCTGCATCAGAATTAATTCAAACCAGTTCTCTGTTTGAGAAAATGATGCCTTTGTTAACGTGCTCAAAAGCCTGGTTTCATATCATGCATTGGGCTGATCCCTAGTTTCTCTGTTAAAACATAGTCTAATAGGTCTTAAGTACAAGCACAGACCTCTGGACATCAGGAGAGGAGAGAGGATCCAAGCTCAGTTCAATACAGCTCATTTAATAGCTCTGCAGAACTCTGGTTCTGAAATTTATTAAACCAGAATATTTATCTCCAGACCAATCCACCAAGTACAGGACATGTAAGAAAAGGTTTTATCAGTCATTTAACTCAATGGATCTGGGCATGGGTGAAACTGTATAGCAAAAGGGATATAAAATTCAAGACAACATCCCAGCCCAGATCTGCATGAGTATTGCACTAACTTAGAGCTTCCCACCTGCTTCTGAGCAACTAGAAGGAACCAAAGATAACCTATCAGACAGCAGATGTCAGCTTAGTTCTTTTCCTGACTTTCTGTTGCGTTTGTATGTGTGTGTGTGTGTGTGTGATTGGATTTATGCCACACATAAAGCCAGGAGTGATCAATTTTTTTGGATTAGTATGATCACCAGACTGTGCAAAGAAAGCATTTTGACCCATTTTTAGGGAGGAAATTGGGAGATTTTGAACCCCACCCCCTACCAGTCCCGGGAAGAGATTGAATCATGAATTGATGATGCCCATGTTGACATGCAGAAAGAGAAAATGCAGTTATTTAGTGAAAATGGAAACATGCATTTCCTCCTAAGGTCCCTTTAAAGTAGTTTTTTCCAGTTGGCTCAGTTTCTGGGGTTGTCTTAAATTCTCATAATCTGGTCATCACAGGCCAAACAGGCTGAGTTATTATGGAGTTGAAGACTAGTTTCCTCGGGAGGACAGCTAATTGGAGAGAGAGCCTCTAAAGGAAAATTTAATATTACGTATCTGGGAATGCAGCAGGTATTGGATATTACTGTATTTCTCATGGGATAGTTGGTCTGTGCTGTTAAGCATTGTCAGAGCTGAACATTGCCACACAAAGATAAGGAATGAGGATAAAATAATTATGTCAGGCACATTTTATTATGCTTTTTAATAAAACCAACACAGTCTATTCCATATTCCATAATACACAATTCTATTGTAGAAGATGGCAAGCACATTAGGATGAAATTACATTCAGACCCACATTTTTTCCATTTATCCCACCAGTTTATTCCTAAAATTATATCTGAGCCAGGAAAGACATCCAGTGAATTTGCAATGAGGGCAAGGGTCATGTTAGGCTACATTTCCCATAACCATGCTATCAGGGCACAGTCCTACTGGTACAAGAATCCTGGGATCCTTAAGCTGTTCTGTTTGTGCCAATCATTTCTTTGATAGCTCTATATCCTATTGTCAATACCTCTACTCTGGTTGTCAGTTGCCAAGCAACCTGTAGGCATCGACAGTTCCCAGATACCTGCTTTAGACATGAGAACCATGTTGATTCCACTGCCCTTATAATATCTCTTCTGCATCTTGCCACGTACTCGGTAGCATTTCCCATTGGTGTAAATTTCTAGCATTTCTAGATTCACTGTTTTTTTAATCACCTTTCTTCTGATATAGAAGCATGCTGCCCCCAACTCGCTGGCCAGTGAATTCATTTTATGTTGCATGCCCTCTTAATGTCACCGCTGTCAATAGTTGCCTCTTGCTGCATGTTGTACATCAAGAAGCTGGGCAACCCAGGGTCTCGTTTCTGTGCTTGCTTAAAAGTGTGGGTTGATGCGGCAACCTTGGGTTTGTGTTTTTGTTTCCTTCTGCAATTCCTCCTCCTCTTCTTTTCCATATAACTTGTGTCTCTGCAGACTTCTGGTGACCACAAGCGCGCAGGCCACCCAGCCAGCAATGGCTTTGCTGGCCATGTCAACCTTCCCGATCTAGTGCAACAAAGCCATTCACCTGCGGGCACGCCGACTGAGGGTTTGGGGCGAGTCTCCACTCATGGGCAGGAGATGGAGCCTGTGGCTGAAGTAGGTAGCAAGAGGCCCTTTGGGTTTTAGACACTTGTCTCTTTCCCTTTGTTTTGCTTTGTAGCATTCTGTTTTACAGGAGCACTCTTGAGTGGGGAAGCTTTCCTGTTCTTTTCTTAATTGCATTCTATATTAGGATGACAAGCAGAATCTCTGCAGTACTTTCCTCTCTTGTTACAAAGGGATGAGAAAGAAGCTAGAATGCTCCCAAGATATAAACATTCCATATGTTGGTAGCTATAAAACCCCAAAGGAAACAGGAAGTATATTATAGAAAAGACGGTCATTATTGCTTTTGCTCAAACCTTCTCATTACTGATTGTGCTGCTATGGCACTCGGCAGCATTTTGGAGACATTCCAAATCTGCAAGATCCTCAACGATCATTGCTGCATGTTAGAAATACTGATGTGCAGTGCCTTATAGTTACACAACACAGAACTGCAGTTCTTGCAATATTTATAGCCATTACAGTCGTGAAGCAGAGTTTTCAGAAAACAAGGACAGAGCTTCATTGACCAGTCTCACTCTTTTCACAGAAGCCCACATTTTAATTTTTTGGATTGATTGATTTATAAATAAGATTTGTATAGCTGCCCGTTTTATGTAACGCAGTGGTTCTCAACCTGTGGGTCGGGACCCCATTTGGGGTCNATCGACCATTTCACGGGGGTCGCCAAGCAAGGCTGTCCGCCATTTTTTTGTCCGCCATTTTTTTTGTCCGCCATTTTTTCCCCCTTTTCCGGCGGGTGCCTTACCTCCCTTGGGCTGGGCCAGCTGGTGGTCGGCCTGCTCCGTCTCTGCCGCTTGCCAGCTACGCCTCAGCCGGCGCAGGGGGCGGAACCACGCATGTGTGGCGCTCCCGGGCAGGGAAAGTCCTTGACTTACAACCGGTTGGGTAGTCCTCGACTTACGACTGGTTTAGTCCTCGACTTACGATCAGTTTAGTCCTTGACTTACGACCGGTTGGGGTCGCGGCATTAAAAAGGTTGAGAACCACTGATGTAACGTAATCCTGGGTGGATCACAAAAAAAAAAATAAAACAATAGAAAGCATAAAAGTCAACAAAAGCCTCCCGGACAGGGGTCCCCATCCCCCGGCCCACGGCCCGTTACTAGGCCTTGAGCTGTTCCCAACTGGGCCGTGGAAGCCATGCAAGTGTGACAGGTGAGCACATGTGCGTGCTCATCCTCACTTGCACAAGCAGCGGGCCACTTGGCACAGAACCATCCTCTCCCCATCTACCAGTCCGCAAAGCTGGAAAGGTTGGGGAACTCTGTCCCAGAACGTTCAAGCACAACATATTCCCAAATGAAATGTAGAGCTTCCATAGGCTCCAAACTCACTACTCCAAAGCTTGCGGGAAAAACCAAAACAGTTTTTTGGAAGGCCAGGAGGAGAGTAGCCTGACAGATCTCATGGCAAAGTGTGTTCCAAATTGTAGGGCAGTTGCTAAGAAGGCACACTGTCTAGGCGTCACCAACCGGTAACATTTAAGGGAAGGGACCTGGAGTGCGCCCATTCTACAGACCTAGTGGAATGGAAGGTGCCTTCGAGGAGAAGTGGGCCACAAATAACCTAGTGGGCCACAAATATCCTAGGCTTTAAAGGTAATACCCAGCACCTTCAATTGCACCTGGAAAGAAATGGGAAGCTAGTGTTGTCCACAAAGCAGTGGTAGAACATGGGCAGACCTTGGGGGGCCTCAAAATCACATTTGAACAAGCTGTAATTTCTAGAAGATCATCAAGGGCGGCTTGTGTAAAGTACGTTGCAATAACCAAACTAGGATGTGACTAGGGAATGAGTTTCCTGAGTGCAACAAATGCAGAATAAGTAACCAAATACAGAGAACTTGCATATTTCTGTGTAGTTTATACAATTGTAGAACTGACATTAAGTTGTGATGGGATCAAATTTTGAAACCACCTACAGTTAACTGTTAGTAATATCTAGGTGTTGGGATGAAACATTTGGTTAAATGCTTATTCCCTTTTGCTTAATTGATTTCTTACTCTGCCAAGAGGTAATGATGCCTTTTTCTGGAAATTTAGATGGTAGCCTCCAAATTCAGCCTGTCTGCATTTTAACAGGCTCTGCTATGATTTGGGTTATACCTTGGAGCAGCAGGCTAGTAGTTAGTTACCCAGTGTAACAGCTCTCTGACTACAGATAGACCTGGACCTTTGACCCCATTTTGGACTAGAATTTCCATTGCTAGACAAGATCATTGCTAAGTAAATTGCACCTGATTTTAAGACCTATTTTGCCATGGTTGTTAAGCAAATCATGTGGTCATTAGGCAAATTTGGCTTCTTTCCATAGACTGTGTTTGTCGAATGCTGCAAATCCCATGACTCTGGAATGCTGCAACCATTGTAAATACTTTGCAAATACCCCAATTTTGATCACATGACTCTGGGGAAGCTGCGACTGTCATAAATATTTTTTTCCCTGTGCCATTCTAAATTCTAAACAAATAGTTGTTAAGTTGGGGACTACCCATATGGCTTTTATCCTGGATTGCAGGCACGGTGGTGAAAAGTATTCCCCTACCTCTCCCCTTGCTGCTTCTTATTCTTATTATGACTCCTAATAGAGGTCATAAATATAATAGGCCTGGATAAACAGCACACAGAAAAAAGACCCCAAGAGCTTAGCCCTTGCACAGGCTTTGCAGCTATCGAAAAGAATGTAGCAGTCAGATTGTAGAGAGGCTGGAGAGAAAAAAAATAGAAGGGAGAATAAGCAAACAGCCAAGGAAGGACAGCAAGAAAGTCCATTTATAGCTAATCTCATAAATGGCAGTTTAGCTCAGATGCCAAAAAACTTGGGAAGAAAGGAATTTCAGATCGCTCAAAGAGACTCCACCTTCATGAAGTCACTGTATCCATGTGGATTGGAAATTCCTTTGGCAGTTTCCCCAAGACTATCGTTTAAAGACACTCTACTGAAGTCTGTGCAGTTCTTGCTTCCTTGATCTTGTCCAGCTCCCAGATTTCGTATTTTCCTTCACAAGGAAATCTTATCTTTGAAATCTTATCTATGAGCCATGGTGGCGCAGTGGTTAGAAGGCAGTACTGCAGGCTACTTCTGCCGGCTGCCTGCAGTTCAGCAGTTCGATCCTGATTGGCTCAAGGTTGACTCAGCCTTCCATCCTTCCGAGGTCGTTAAAAATGAGGACCCAGATTCTTGGGGTCAATAAACTGCTTAGAGAGGGCTATAAAGCACTGTGAAGCGGTATATAAGTCTAAGTGCTGTTGCTATTTTGGAGGCAAGCAGGGCTGTTTCCAAAGAAAAGTATCCAAATACATAGAATTCTTTTTCCTTGATTTCCTACATACAAATACTCCCCCCACAAAAAATAAATAAATACAGGTATTCCTCAACTTACAACCACAATTAGGACTGGAAAATATGTCATTGAGTGGCCTGGTTGTTAACCGAGGCATCATATGACCGCACTCAATTTTACTGCCTTTTTTGCTGCAGTCGTTAAATGAGACATTACATGATTTGCGATCTTCCTTGCTGGCTTCCCTATTGATGTGGCTTGATCATAAGTCACGTTTTTCAGTGTCGTCATAGCTTCAAACCATCATTAAACAAATGATTGTAAGTCTATACAATCTGTACCCTTTTTTTTTTTAAAGTAACCTCAGATTCACACATTTGTTTTAGGCAACTTAACATTGGAAAACAAAGAAATTAAACCCAACAGAATTCATACCTTCTTGGGAGTCACTTAGGATGGTGCACTTGTTATCTGGGACTTGGGAAAGGAAGAGAATTAGGTGATGTATTAATTAGGAAAAAGTTTTAAAAAGTCATTATGGACACTGGTACAGAAAGAGGGCAGAATACTGTCCCACTCATCTTTTAGGAAATTTGCAGCTGCCTATCTGTATAACTAAACATTCCACTGTATCACCAAGTAGCCTGTAGGTGCAATCAGAACTTTTGAACCCTCTGGTTTTGATAATTGCTTTTGCATAAAAATGTAGGGATCGACTGGATCATCAATGCTAGCTGGAAATATTTGGGTTATGTAAACTGTGCTAGCTTAGCATAATGCCAGCTTGGTGTAGTAATTAAGGCACTAGGCTAGAAACCAGGAGACTGTGAGTTCTAGTCCTGCCTTAGATATGAAGCCAACTGGGTGACCTTTGGCCAGTCACTCTTTCTCAGCCCTAGAAAGAAGGCAGTGGCAAACCATTTCTGATAAATCTTGCCAAGAAAATGCAAGGTCTTGTCCAGGCAGTTCTCGGAAATCAATACCAACTCAAAGATACACAGAAACATACAATGCTAGACCAGTTCCTCATCTAAACTGGTTTTGCAAAATTGTACCTGCCCTGGGTTTTGAATGAAGCTCTTCCAGGTTCCATATACAAGAGTTCACACATACATAGCAGCCATGGCTTTTTCATCACTTGATGAAATGCAACTGAATATATCAGATGGCTCTGTTGGAAAGGATTATTTTGCATCTCAGAAGAGACAGTTGCAATGATGCTTATTTGATAATGAAGCATTGGTGTGGAAAAAATGCTAGCTCTCTCTGCTATATGAGCCACAAAGAGTCATTTACACCTATAATCACCACTAGATGTTGCAGGAGTGAATTAATAAGCCAATAAAACCAATAAGCAAACCAAGATCTGCTCATCTGTGCATAGACATCATTGTTACACAGGGATACCATGGATGATTTGGGTGATGATGACAACCTCATGAATCATGTCTGTGTTCTTCCCTTTATAGTATGGCATGGGGAGCAGTACAAAAGCTTCTTTCACCCCATTTGTGGACACCAGAGTGTATCAGACCTCTCCGACTGATGAAGATGAAGATGATGATGAAGAATCCACTGCTACAGGTAAATTTATTTAGCATATGGCATGAAATACATGGATAGCAGTAGGAAGGACATATAGAAAGAACACCTAGTGTAACAGTAACAGAGTTAGAAGGGACTTTGAAGGTCATCTAGTCCAACACCTTGCTCTCACAGGAGACCTATGCTATTTCTGATAAATGGCCGTCCAGTCTCTTCTTAAAAACCTCCAGTGATGGGGCACCCACAGCCTCCAAAGGCCAGTTGTTCCACTGGTTAACTGTTCTCACTGTTAGGAATTTTCTCCTTAGTTCTAGGTTGCTTCTCTCCTTGGTTAGTTTCCATCCCTTGTTTCTTGTCCTGCCTACAGATGCTTTGGTAAATAAATTGGCCCCCTCTTCCTTGTGGCAGCCCTTCAAATATCACTTTGAATCTCAATCAAATTTCAACCAAAAACCAACTTATGGGATCTAGAAGACACATCTTCTTGGTAGCTGCAACTTCTCTGTGGAATAATGTACCCCTTGGTGTCCATATAGCTCCAGCCCTGTTAGGCTTCTATAAAACCATAAAAACTGGTTCTTTCAATAGACCTTGGAGTAGAGTGGTATCAGATCCCTGATGGTAATTGATGTCTGTAATATATTCTTCTGCTGATTCTATTTTTTGTTATTTTTTGTTATTATTCTTACTTGATGACTTAATCTTCTTGTATAAGCTACCTAGAGTCACTTCGTGATTAAAGCTTCATATAAATTTATAAAATAATTTGCTTCATAAAATAAGCAATCCAGATGCCCTTTGTCTTTTACCTATTTCAGTCTGGGCCAGTGTTGAAACAAAGGTTTAAGCTGCATTTTCCCCTTATTCTTAATGTTTAAGAAGGCTTATGGGGGCATATTTGGTGAGGCTTGGCCTTTGGTTTGTAGGATACCAGCTTTTCATTTTTAAGTTAAAGAGAATTTATGAAAATGTAAATAGTCGGGACGAGAGGTCCAGGTACCATATTGGATGCTATGTTGCATTCCTAGACCATTACAGAATCGTACAATTAAAATTTGATAAAATCCCTCAGTCACATATTTAACAAAGCTACTACTGTGCTGTTTTTTTCCCCTTTTCAGCATTATTTACCAGTGAGCTGCTGAGGCAAGAACAGGCCAAACTTAATGAAGCAAGAAAAATTTCTGTAGTAAATGTGAACCCCACCAACATCCGTCCTCATAGTGACACCCCAGAGATCCGAAAGTACAAGAAACGCTTCAATTCAGAAATCCTGTGTGCTGCTTTATGGGGTATACATTTCATTATTCATGTAAATAGTTGAAACAAAGTCTGCATGATAAAAGAGGGTGAGAAGAAAAAAATACTTATGTTCAGAAGATAATAGAATTTAGCCCAGTGTTTCTATTGCAGTTCTGTGACTGGATACGTGGAAATGGACATGCAAATGTTAAGACGTTAAGTCCGCCATGACCATCTGTGTCCATCAAGTCTAAGCAGAAGCTGTTTTTATGGTTTTACTGGTATTGCAGTTGGAATACTTTGCAGATCATGTATTTAATATAATTTACATTAAAGTAGAATTTCCTAAAATTGGCAAGAGCTGCAATCATTACAATTCCTTGGCTTTGAATAGAAAATGAAAATAGTTTAATACAGCAGTCTGTTCAAAATTCTAGCCTCTTTCTACAGCAATGACTATAACTATATGCCCCATAGAGATTTTAATGTGGAAATAGTAGTCATCGGGTTAAGAAGAAAATATTAGAAAGAAAAGAGAATGAGGGGGTCTTGGTGCTCTCTGAGCTTGATTGTTTTCTTGCAGATGTTTCATTACCCTAACTGCACTGACGATGTTATCTAGTTTGGGTAATGAAATGTCTGCAAGAAAAAAAACCAAGCTCAGAGAGCACCATGGACTGCTCATTTCAACCCTGATATTCTCTATCAGAAGAGAGCACGGCAGCTTGAAGTAGTAAAATCAGTACAAGAGTATGCAGTTAGATGTAAGACAAATTCAGATATTCTCTCCCTGAAATAGCTGAGTTGTCTTTGGTGAGCAGTTACATGAAGGTGGTTTCTAAACCAGCTTCTTGCTTAGCCTGCTATCAAGTTAGTCAGTCACTGAAGATCCCCATCTAGGGCAGCGGTTCTCAACCTATGGGTCGCGACCCCATTTGGGGTCGATCGACCATTTCACGGGGGTCGCCAAGCAAGGCTGTCCGCCATTTTTTTTCCCTTTTCCGGTGGGTGCCTTACCTCCCTTGGGCTGGGCCAGCTGGTGGTCGGCCTGCTCCGTCTCTGCCGCTTGCCAGCTATGCCTCGGCCGGCGCAGGGGGCGGAACCATGCATGCGCGGCGCTCCCAGGCAGGGAAAGTCCTTGACTTACGACCGGTTGGGTAGTCCTCGACTTACGACCAGTTTAGTCCTCGACTTACGACCGGTTTAGTCCTCGATTTACGACCGGTTGGGGGTCGCGGCATTAAAAAGGTTGAGAACCACTGATCTAGGGGAACAAATGTGCCTATGCTATATAGCAAGTTCGGTCAGCTCTTCTTATCCTCAAATGGAAGATCTCTATATACATGCATTTTTTTTCCTGACATTGTTTGCATATAACAGGAGAACCTAAGAAGCTCCATTCTACCCATGTTCTGCCTCACATATATACTTTTACCACACAGTTCATATGACAGCGCTTTTGTTTGACTTCTTTTGCTTATAATTTTGCTTCCTTCTCAGCTACATAATGTGTAGCATCCCGTACATTTCACCCTCCATGATTTTTATGGGAAAATCAGAAATCGCTTCTTTCAATAACATCATTAGAATTCAGATTCTTCTGTGCTTTTCAAATAAAACTCAGGTCCATTCAGGAAGTGCATCTAGAAGGTGAAAATATTAGATTTCAAGCATAGAAAAATCCCTGAATGATGAATAAAATTATGAATTAAATTAAACTGTATTTGAGTAATTACTAGAGTGGCTAAGCCTATGGCCAGATATCTAGAGATCATTTAGCCATTGAACAATGGCATCAAAACTGAGTTAAAGGCACACATATAATCAATGAATCTCTTGGAAAGGATTCCCAACTCAGGGCAGAGAAGGTACATGTCTTATCTTTCAGATATGCTTATATGACTTTCTTTTATTCTTGATCATAGGCCAAATTGAATGAAATAAAAGAGGATTGGAGGACCAAAGCTTTCCTAATTTCTCTCCCTAAGCAAATGAAGTATATAGCCAATAGTGAGGCCCTTGGTTCAAATGAATAAGATGGTTAAAAGATATTTCTGATTATACTATTTTTTTTAATACCAATCGTATAAAACTCCGGATTGCAAAAACTATCTTAAAGAGAGACTCTTCCCCCATTTTGCCTCTTGGGGCAATGAACAGTTCCATATATGGTCATGCACTTTATATAAGCAATAAAAATGTTTCCTAAATATTACTTTTATCCTTATAAAATAATTGATTCACTAGTGTTGCAGCTGAACTTTAACGCTCTTATTTTGTCATTGTTGATGCACAGTGACCCCAATTTTTGTTTCATCTCCTTCTTTCCCTTATGTAGGTGTAAACTTGCTGGTAGGAACCGAGAATGGACTTATGCTGTTGGATCGGAGTGGACAAGGAAAAGTGTACAATCTGATCAATCGGAGACGGTTCCAACAAATGGATGTGCTAGAAGGCCTCAACGTCCTTGTAACTATCTCAGGTATAATCGCAAGACCACATCATGCTTCCATTATCCTCCTGGTGTCTTCCAAACTTGTAATTCCATCTGTAGTGAAAGCCAAGATATATTTTGCAGGTTTTCAGTAAAGAAGTCAGTAAGATTGGGACTGGATCATTCTGTGTTAGTAATGACTAACATAAGTTTAGACTCAAATTGCCCTTTCATTCAAACAAGAACAGGAGACCAGTTTCAGCAGTACCACCCTGTGTATCCTTCAATCTGCTCCATACCCAGAAGATGTATAGGAAAATCAAACCATGGTCAGATGGAAGCAGTAGATGTACAGTGTACCATAAACTACAGAAACAAACAAATATAGTATTTTTTTTTATTTCATTAAGAAGAAAACAGGCAAAGTATATTTACATGACATGCTAAATCATTGCAAATGGCTCACATGAATGCATGAACCGCCTTATTTATGTTCAAAAGTAGTATATGCTGACACAGAGATCTGTGAAATCCTTTGATCAGTTCAGAGGGACCTGCTCAGATTGATTTGCTGATTTAGTTTGGTCAGAACACCTTCTAATGGAAACCTTGACTCTCTAAGGTTTCAATCTAGTGGATAGTTTGGTTTCAGTACATGCCAGATTGGATTGTCTCTTTTCTGAGCTCTCTCCGGAGTCCTGAAAGATTCTGAATCCAATAGATCTTTTTCTTCAGTTGTTTTGCCAGATTTTCATCTTTCTGACATGTCTAAGTGGGATCTTAGAGCATGCCTAGACTAAAGGAGATCTTAGACTACTAACCCATTTGGGCTGTGTGTACTTCACTGAAAATTCTCTTTGTTCCCTCTCTTGCTAACTTTACATACTCATAAAGTTGATGATATATTCATAATCACGAAGCAATATATAATCATCTTTAATTTCTGTCCACTAAACCAGTAATAAACAAATGGTGCTGTCAGGATCCTGGCTATTGGCCATGCTAGCTGGATCAGAAGAGTGGCGATTTTTTATATATAATTTGTATTAAGAATTCTGATTACAATATAAAAATGAATAAAAGCTAAACTTAGATAAAGAAAGGAGGAAAAAATGAAAGATGCAGGAACAAAGAAAAAGAAATAAAAGGAAAAGAAAGGATATAGTAAAAAAAAGAAAACAAATATATAAAGAAGTGACTTTCAACTTTCATTACAAGCGTAAACAAATTTAGTAACTCTTCTCTCTCTATAAGGTTACTAATAAATATGTCCATCCCCCATCCCATTCCTTATCTATAAGCAAATTCATAAAACATCAGTTTTTCAACTCTGGTGTCAGCAAAAAAAAATTGTAAAAGTTAACAGAAAATGTCTTATTTTAATTTTGATCAAATAAACCAACTTTATATTCCCTCCTTTTGCTTCTAACAGTCTTAATCCTTAATCCAATCAAATACCATAGAAAGATTTTATTTCTCTTCAATTCTTTATTCATTTGCACATATTTCTTCAATGTTTTATCAAGTCTCCTTTGTAAATGCAATAAGGAAACATTTTCTAAGTCATTCTCTTAGCTTCTCACTTGTATTTCCCTTTTAATTTTTAAAACATCAGCCAATGTCTTTTATATATCCAGTAAAGCATCCTTTTCCAAATCATTCTCTTGGCCCATCATGCATAGTTTCACCTTCTCTGTCTAGTCAGATAAAATTTGTTCCACATCTGTCTTCCTTAATCTCATCAACTTCTCTTGGACACAGTCTATCTACACAAGCAGATTTCATTAGGTTCCGTTTTTCAAAGATCTCCTTTAATATTTCTGAATGAATGAGTGTGCGTGTGTATATATATATAGATAGATAAATATAGATATAGATATAGATATGAATTCCGTAAGTCCCAATATTAACTGACATCAAAAACAGGCTTGTATTTTTTTTCCTTCTGCTTAGAATCTTTAGTTCCCTCTAGTGTCCAAATTCTAAAATTTTAAAGTAAATTATCTTTGTTATGGCTCACAATAACTAGGACAGCTGAAATAAATCTGTTTCCTAAGAGAAGATAATTATTTTTTATAATTAATTCCAAAATCTTACAGTGAAAGTCCATTTTCCAAATGTATCATGACCAGTTAATCCATTTTATAACTTTCTTAGATTAATGTTATATTTAACTTTTTCTGTTTATTTCAAATTCTTTAAATTCTTAAGTTTAGAATTAATTTTTTTGTTTGTTCAGAGTTGAAGATAAACTCAACCAATGAAGGCTTTTCAATTTTGTCATTCCAAAGGTTACTAGTAGCTTTAAGATGGTTAATAGGCAATTTCCAAAAAAGATTAGAAAGTGAAGTTGTGAACTTAGTGTCCTTTAAAAGGCTCCACCATGTTTGCAAGCAAGAGGGCTAATCCCTTCGGGTCCCAGTGCTCACATTCATAGAAAACCATTGTCGTCTGGTCTTTTTGTGAAAAGCAACCATTTGGAATACGTGTGGGTAATCTCCCATCCTCTGCTTATCTGGGGATAATATCCCGCAAATTAACTTGCTTGAACAGGACAATGAAACAGGAAAAAGTAAATGAATTAAAATATTGTCTATAGTTAGTGAAGTCTATGTATACCGTAGTCTATGTAGAAAAAATGAGCTCCATATTTCAACAGGAAAGAAGAACAAGCTTCGAGTTTACTACCTTTCATGGTTAAGAAACAGAATATTGCACAATGATCCAGAAGTAGAAAAGAAACAAGGCTGGATCACTGTAGGTGATTTGGAAGGCTGCATTCATTATAAAGTTGGTAAGTATAAATCAACTACACAAATACTGGTGGAAGCTCTCCTGGGTACAGAGTAAGCAAACTCATACCACATTCCTACCACATAAAAGCCATATAGGGCCTGTGTAGCCTCTCAAGCTGAACCCTGCTTATTCCATCAGCAGACTGTGCTCTTGAGAGCATTGATAACAATCTCTAAATATTCCATACAAGTCTTATGGCTAAACCAGCAATTGCAGAAATAGTTTTCTGAAACAAGTTGGTTGGTGACATCGGTTATGACTACATAGGATAAATCAGGGCTTTTTTTCAGCCGGAACGCGGCGGAACCGCGTTCCGGCACCTTTTTCCGGGCCGGCCGCACCAGAAATAGCTCCTCCCACACCGGAAATAGCCCCTCCCAAATTTTACTTGCATTCCTGTTCTCTAAAGGGGCGGTCCTAGGGTTTGATGAGGGCGTGGCCAGGTTTGAGTTCCGCCACCTTTTCTCCGAGAAAAAAAGCCCTGGGATAAATTATTCCCTACTTGATTCACAGGAGCTATTATTACGGGGGTTGGACATGCACACATTGGACTTGTTATGAATAAGTTTGTGTTCCAGTGTCATATGCAATTCACATGTGTAAAATTGGACCATGAATGGAGTGATGATCTTATTTCCCCAGTTTCCCCAAAACATTAATCAACAAATGGATCTCTTTGTTTTTGTCAAATAATTGAAAGCATTGCACTGGATCCATATCGAACGTTTGTAGAGACCTATTCTGTGTGTCTCTTGTGTAGAAACCTACTCTACTTTGGCAAAATCGACTTTCCTGAAGTTACTATTTTAAATAAATAACTTTCATTATTGTAAACAATATTTTCTGATCACCATGTTCTAAGCTTAAATCATATATTACTTACTGAAGGAATGTATACAGTTCTCTGCTTACAAACAGTTTATGTTCCAAGAGGCTAATTGTAAGTCCATTTTGTTTGTAAGTCCAAACAAATATAAAAACATGCACAGTCCAGTTCATATCTTACATAATTGGCAAGTATGCCTTAATACCTGATGACAATGGCTGACAGGATGGGGTAGCATCCAAAATGGCATACATTCAGCCTCCCAACATGTGAGGGTGCTGCCATGTGTATGCACACACCATAAATTAACCCCTTCCTATATTCTCCTACTTTCTGGGATCTTCCAGATTGGGGTTGTTGACATGTTTGTTCAGATTGGTGAAAGTAACTCAAAAATGTGTAAGTAGAGAACTGTCTGTATTAAAGATATTGTCATACGTGAAATTACTTTTCTCCACTTAAATCCAGTTTTCTTCCAAGTACCACATGCAAAAACCTGCATTTGTATTAATTTGAGTTCTCTAATTACTATAAAAGCTCAAAATATGTTGCCACTTTTAATTTGCTTAAGATATGGTAAACATTTGAGTGACAAATAGAATAGACAAGTAAATTAAAATGGTTGTCTTTATGTGTAAAGGATAGTATTCAGGCTTATGAAGAAGCCTGATTCTGATTTTCTGTGCTCTTTTTTTGAGAAAAAAAAATCAGTTTTGTATTTCAGTTTATGTAAATAGGATGTTTAAAATTTTTAGTTTTATTTCAATTTTAGTGAAATATGAGAGAATCAAGTTCTTGGTGATTGCCTTAAAGAATGCTGTAGAGATATATGCTTGGGCTCCTAAACCTTATCACAAGTTTATGGCATTTAAGGTATGTTTTGTGTTATTACCAAAAAAAATCACTGTTCATATATTTATTAATGGGTTTTTTTGCAGATAAAATATATGTCATTCATTACTGGTATTTAGCTTCCTATAACTTCAACCCATGCCCTTGGCAAGAAAATTAATACAACATCATTAGAGCTGCTTTTTTTACCCATTGAAGTTCTTAGCAATCAAATCTGACTGTGCCGCTATTAAATTGCTAGCTGTGCTCTTACTGGAAGCCATATTTGATGGGCTGCATATATATCTGAGTCTGTAAGGCTCAGCACTGCAGTAATCTCCTGGATTTTACAAAGATCACAGTCCACATAGTTAGCCAGCAAATTTAACATTTAAGTGATAGTTCCTTCCATCTAAGGACAACAGTTAGGAAAGTGATCCAAGCTACTCTGCCACAATCTGTGTACATCCCAAAGAGGCCCAATGAGTATTCGGAACAATTTGGTAAAATTGAACCATTTTTGTCTGGGTTGTTTCCCCTTTCTGATGTTTTATAATAATTTGGTTATTCTTCACTAAGGAATTTAAAAGCAAATAAATAATAAAAGTTTTAAGCCTAGTTAATCCAAGATCTGAATGTGAGGGATTTGAAATGCTCATCTCAAAGAAGAAGTAACAATGCAACCCTCAAGATCTTCTGCACCTTGGATTAAATCAGAACCTAAAAGGGATTCCTATTTAGTCCTAGATACCCCTTTAATCCTAAAACCTTCTTTCTGTTCACTTTTTAAGTGTAACAACATCTATAGAATTGTTGCAGCATGGTGAAGAGTACAGTTCAAATTTCTTCTCAAGAAACATTAGAACATATTAAATATTACTAACGTATTCAAGAGTTACCTTGAGGTAAAATAGGTGATCTATAAATTTAATTAATTAATTACCTTACCTCGGTGGCCCTTGGAAACTATAGTTTTCTTAATGAGTTTTACAAATTCTTGCTGAGCGAATGTGTGGAATGGGCTCATTCTCAAGAAATCCTTAAAAGTAAAGAGCCAGACTTTCCTATGGAACTTTAGACCTTCTTGTAATAGATCAATATATTTAAAAAGCTTAATTATGTCTAAATCTGCAGAGACTGTAAACTAGTAGAAAGAGAGCAGGGCATTTTAAGAAGGAGAATGTCAGATTGTCACTTTGTTACCACCGAATCCTAATTATTTGAATATTTATTTACTTATTTGGCTTCTCACAAAAAATTCATTGAGGGGATTTTAAAAGTCTTTTGCAGATCTTCAGCACAAACCATTGCTTGTTGACCTCACAGTAGAAGAAGGACAGAGGTTGAAAGTCATCTTTGGGTCACATACTGGTTTTCATGTTATTGATGTAGATTCAGGCAATTCTTATGACATCTACATACCATCTCATGTAAGTCTGAGGCTGCTCTATGGCTATTTTTGTGAATGTGATGGACAAGTAGCCATAATAGTCTGATGCCATTTATCTATAATTATTAACCATTTGTTCTGTACCCTCTGGAATGTCTTTCTTTCAGATTCTGTCATCAAAAGAAATAATTCAGCTATAGAAATCTCTGGAGGGTCTTTATGATAGTTATAATTTTGGAATGTTCTGCAGCAGAAGACTCTTTGTACTCATGAATGAAGGCTAATATACATGTCCCAGGATAATGTTGCAGGATCCAATCTGGGTCTGTCACCAGGACCAGAGGTTTAGTCTTCCGAGCTTTTGGACTAGTGCTGGAGCCCATCTTCAGGGAACTTCTCTCTAGCAGAGTGTGTGCTGTTCTCTGTGTGGTATTTATAGTGCTTGTTGTAAATGGCTTTTTAGATGTTGATTGGGTTGGGTTGATGGACTTTGATTGGGTTGGGTTGATGGCAACTGGACTTTCTTGCTGAAGAAGCTTCTTGGATGAGAAGTGAAATGTCTTCAAAGAAAAACAAGAAAGTCCAGTTGCCTCTTGAAAAAGCATCTTTGGGACAACCATGACCTGGATGACTGAGAATCTCCCTAAACGTTGTTGGCTGTTGTTTGCTTCTGTCGTCCAGCCCTCACCTTCTAAATACTTGATATGCTGGTGGTAAATCAGCACTCCTGTTGACTGACGGAGGGCCTGTTTCTCAGGCTTCAATCACTTCCCTGGCTGTTTTGTGATTGAAGCCTGGGAAATAGGCCCCTTGTCAGTCAACAGGAGTGCTGATTTACCACCAGACTTAGAAGGCGAGGGCCGGGCAGCACAAGCAAACGACAACTAATGACTTAAAAACCAGCCATCAACACACCCCAATCAACATCTAAAAAGCCACACACAACAGGCACTATAAATACCACACACAGAACAGCACACATTCTGCTAGAGAGAAGTTCCCTGAAGATGGGCTCCAGCACGAGTCCAAAAGCTCGGAAGACTAAACCTCTAGTCCCGGTGACAGACCCAGATTGGATCCTGCACTCTTTATACTATTTCCATTTATAGTTACATATTTCTAACATTGAATGCTGCTGTTCAGTGCTGTTTTCACTTTTAACTGGATTTAATTTTGTTTTATTATTTAAAGAATATTTTTTCCTCACAAGTTACTATAAACATGTTTTTGCAGACTAGTAGAGTAGCATATCAAATACAAAATGCAATTAAGCAGAACCACTTAAGCCAGAATATCCCTGCTCATATTAATGAATTTAAACATGAATATATCCAAGTATTTGTCTCAGATATTAAACAGAGCTTAATTTGAGCCTGAGCTGTAAGAAGCTTCCCATTAATCTCAGAGCACTTATAGTGTGTCAGCCAAGTTTTCATAAACCTTCTGTCTTATGGGTAGACTATAGATATAACTCTGGCAAGCTTGTCAGAAGACATAGCCAGTGTGCAGTCAGTAATTCTAGAAGCACATACTGTATAATATCACTGGGCTGATTATTGCTTTATTTTAGTCTACTTATTTTCCAAAGTAAAGTGACCTATACCAAAGCAGGTTGACCCTTCTTATCCTGAAAATGTGACTTAATGCTGGTTTGGGGGGCTGTTCTGTTCTGTACACAGATTCAGGGCAATATTACACCTCATGCCATTGTCATCTTACCCAAGACGGATGGGATGGAAATGCTTGTGTGCTATGAGGACGAAGGGGTATACGTTAATACCTATGGACGCATAACAAAAGATGTTGTACTCCAGTGGGGAGAAATGCCCACTTCAGTGGGTATGTCAGTTCCTCTTCTTCTTCTCTTTAGAGATAAAGATAGCAGTGACATAGATTGATACATTTAGAGTGAGGTGAGCAAGAATTATGCTATCAAATTGTGCTGGAGAAGACTGTTCAGAGTTCTTTGGAGTGCAAGGCGATCAAATCAGTCAATCCTAAAGGAAATCAATCCTGACTGTCCTTTGGAAGGACAGATTCTGAAGCTCAAATACTTTGGCCACCAAATGAGAAGAAAGGACTCTTTGGAAAAGACCCTGATGTTAGGGAAGGCTGAAGGCAAAAGAAGAAGGGGATGGCAGAGGATGAGATGGTTAGATAGTTTCTTCAATGCAGCAGGCATGAGTTTGGGAAGACTCAGGGTGAGAATGGAGGACAGGAGCCTGGGATACTATGGTCCATGTGGTCACAAAGAGTTGGACACAACTTAGCAACTGAACAACAACAAAGCAAGAATTGGTTATTTTCCTGTATTTTAATGATGGAATCAAGATACCGATTGGTGTTTTGAACTTCTATCTTATGACATTTCCACCGTAAATAATAATACCTGCTAGGAAAGATACATGGTAAAACTTGCTTTTTTCCAATTGTTTTTAATAAGAATATATTATCAAATGTTTATAGGTTGTATATTTTGTTTGTTTGTTTCATGACAAGCCTATATTCATTCCAATCAAATAATGGGCTGGGGTGAGAAAGCTATTGAGATACGATCAGTGGAAACGGGACATTTGGATGGAGTATTTATGCACAAGCGTGCTCAGCGGTTAAAGTTTCTATGTGAAAGAAATGATAAGGTAAGTCTATTTTCAGGACTCTTGACTACTTAGAGTAATTGTTCTCGAATCTGAGTGGATAGCCTCCAGCCCCCAAGGGTTCTAACTCATTAGTTCTACCTGATTATGGGAATTTTAGTTTAGAAACATCTGTTCTATACTAACATCTGGAGGAGCTGGAGGGTCCACGTCCTTCTCCCAAAACTGCACACTTGTTTGTTCTGAACTCCACAATCTCCAGATAGGTAGATTTCACATTTAGAATTCTCTGCAAAGAACCATGGGCAATTCTATGGGCTGAAGATCTTACATCCCTTAAACATTCTTAAAAATGGGCTGGTCTTTCTGGTTTGTTATTTGGAAGGTATGCTGTAAAAATACATCCATCATCCTCCCCTGCTTCCAGTTGTGAGTCAATGCAAAGTCTAAAATTCTGCAATCTGTTTTGCATGGTTGCTAACCAGACACATCTGAAAAGCTTATTTTGCTTTAAAAAGCAGCAAAGCTTTTTTTCTTTTTAATAAAAAGAAATGTATGAAACATTTGAGTATCACTTCACCCAAAGAAATATCTCTTCCATGTATCACAAAACATTCTGAAAACGTGTCCTCGTTCCATAAGAGAAAAAGATCACCCTTTTCACACAATTTGGACTGTACGAATAATTTCCAAATTTGAAAAGTAAAACCTCCAGAGTTTAGTTCACAACATAAATGTCTTTAATCCTACTGATAGGTCTTACACCCAAAGTAAGCTTGTATGATTCCAGTCATTGAAAGAATCCAAAGGACTTCCATTATTTTATCAGATTCTCTCTTCAAAACGTACTAACAAGAGAAAAAAAAGTTTCTTTTTGAAAAATAGACCCAACCCTTCTAAAGAAGGTGAAAATCCTTGCAGTCACCTTCTTCTACCCCAAACCCAATTTACAAACATCACTATTCAATAAAGTAATTAATATAACAACTATAAATTTCCATTAGGAGAAAGCAAACAGTGATCTGGAATGTATGCCTGTAATCAGATAACTAATTTATGGCTGGGCAAGGAACAGGAAGGAGCTTATGCCACTGCAGAATTGGCCAGCAATTTGAATGGAAAAAGCACTGATTGCCCTGATGTCTACGGAGATTCTCAATCATCCAGGTTGTGCTTGTTCCAAAGGTGCTTTTCCAAAAGACAACTGGACGTTCTTGGTTTTTTTCCTTGAAAACATTTCACTTCTCATCTAAGAAGCTTCTTCAGTTCTGAATAAACAGTAGGGAATAGAAGGATTTATATTCTTTGCAGTCATCTGGTAATTAGCACTGATACAATCAGCTTGGTGGCCTCTATCACGTATTGTGTGGGAATTCTGGGAGTGTGGTCCAAAAACATGAAGAATGGTTTTAAAAACCTATTCTGAGTTTTTTTTTTAAAGATAAAAATAGCAGACATAGTTGTTTAAACGAATGACCAAGCGGAGAAACTAAACAGACATTTTCAATTAAGTCTCTGAGTCCTTCTGATCAAGTGTATGTGCTGGAGGGAGGAAGAGACGTTTTTTCCCATTTATATTTAATCAGAATGCTTTCTTTCCAAACAGGTATTTTTTGCATCGGTAAGATCAGGGGGAAGTAGCCAAGTATTTTTCATGACCCTGAACAGAAATTGCATGATGAACTGGTAATGAAGGAGCACTTGGTGTTTATTTTGATGCCAAGATGTGTTAAATTTTGAAGGACATTGGAATTTGCAGAGTTATACTGTCAAGGCAAGTGAAGAAGAAGAAGATATTGTGGATCCTGTTGGCTTTCTTCGGTGATCACAGACTGCTCATGCAGCCACATTCTGAGAACACGACACACTTTTTCCATTGTGGTTTCAGAATGCAGGTTTCTTCAAGATTCTAAGAATGCAACTCTGTTTGAGCAGGAAAGGACCAACACTGGAGAGGTTTAGCGGAATAAATCTCTTTGAAGTGTTCAAACTAAGCTGTGATAAAATCGGCTCTAGGGTTTTTAAAAATAATTATTTTTTTTCCTTGATCCTCAGTTTGTATGAATAGAGACAGGTCTTAAAGTTAAAACAGAATATCTGTTTTAATAATGTCTGCCTATTAGCACCGAATATATAGTATGATGTAAGGCAGATTCCCCTGACCTGGTGTCTTTTAGGTGTGGTGGACTAGAGCTCCCATGATCATGGCTAGCGAGCCAAATGGGTATTTTGGTTTGGAATGATGGGAGTTGTAATCAAACACATCTGTGGGGGTTAGGCTGAGAACTGCTGTTATAAAGTTATCACTTAAAACTGATGCAAGAGAGCACAATAAATGTACCATTTTTAATCTTTGTGTGAGAGGCCCTAACCATAGAGTGGCTACGTTTTGTAAACTCTTTTTTTGCTTTTATGGACATTTGTGTGGGGATTATTTTGTTGTGGTTGTTTTTGTTTTATTATTTTTATTTTTTGAAAACAGGTCAAGACATTTCGGATAAGAGTATACACGAGATTTTGTCCCATTCCTTTGGGAAATCTAAATGGCTAGACTCCTAGCTTTGGAGAATATAATATGATCATGATAGAGTTAACTTTTTGTCAGTCTTTCAGTTCATACTACTCCTTCCCCAGCCTGGCCATCTCCAGATGGGTTGGGATGTCACCTCCCCAGATTCTCAGCCAGCAAGATCACAAGCCGAATACATCTGGCTGATCAATGCTCTTCTTTATAGATCTTTGCATAATGGTGCTCATTGATTTAAAAAAAAAAAAACCAACAGCAGTGCCATTCTTGTTAGTCATTCCCACTGGTTGCCTTTCTCCAAGCTGTAACACGAAAATATCTCTAAATGGGAAGCTAATTGAAATGTAAGATTCCAAAGATTGGCTAAAGAATGCTCCTAGCAGCTTGATACATAAGGCACCTTAACTCGGATATGTTTGAATCCAAATCATACCTATTCTGTACAGTTGTACTTTACTTCGGGGGATAAGGGGGCATGATCCTTGTAGATACTGGTATGTTTTATTTCTTCCACTAAAATTACAAAGAGACGACATCATTCAGATATTTCCAAGATGGAAGTCCCAAATACAGATCAGTATTTTTTATCTAATGGTGTCCTATTCTCAATATGGAAAATCTTAATAAAATATTCATCTCTTGGTACAAAGAAGTGCAGGAGAAGGAGAGCAGATGAAAGGAGGGTTTCATTGATCAATTATTTGACATTTAGATTTCATCTTTCTGCCTTCCCCCTGTGTACCCATCTGTATAATGACCAACTATTGTGCAGAAGTATGTATGTTTTTAGTTTGAATTTATCTCTGTCTTTATATGCTTTGTTCAAATTATTTGTATTTTTAGATTACTTATTTCACTGTCTCCAAGCCTGGATTCTCCCCCTGGTCTCTGGCTATAACATAATTGGATCTGTTTTGCTATTTTTAACCTACCTCATTTTATTTTTTTATTTCTGTTAGGTTTTCCTTATTCACTCCTATAGATATTCAGAGAGTTTAACTGGCCAGTCCAAGGTATAGCTGAGTATTCTGCAGAGGCCAGGTTTTTGAGAAGTGGGAAATTAACATCAAACTCTTCTTTTCCATTTTTTCCCCCTTCAACCATTCCATAACTTCAGAATTTTGATCGTATATGCCAGTCGATGTGATAGTGGTCACAATGCATTGGTCTGTGAGAGCAATTGGCCCTACACACACAACCATGCAAAGTCCTCTATCCGAGAGGCTACCCAAAATTACTGCAAGCCAGGAGCTCCGAACGTATTGCTATCATTGTGCATACATGAAGTTGTGAGTTACAAGCTCAGTTAGTCTATACGGCTCTTGAAAGTCACGAGAAGTCACTGATTCCTCTGAAACAGGCTTTCTGGATAGGCATATGCAGTTGGATGGGAGAAATAATTGATATCTTTCTTAATCACACATCCCATCAGAAATATGCTCATGTTTGTCATCCACGTTCGAGTCTATCTCACTACCTGGCCTAGAGAGATGATGGTGATAGCAGTGCTGGCTATATGTACAGCCAGATGACCCTTTCGGGTTAAGCATGCTGTGTCCTTAGTATTCAATGTAATTGGTGCTTCCAAACTTTCTGAAGAGAATGTTGCTGGGCACCTTTAAACTTCATACTGTGTGGTGGCTTTTCTATAATAAAAACATGGTGGGAGGAGTTCGTGATCATCTAAGTCTGAAGGTCTGTGTCAGAGGATCTTGTTTCTTCCCCCTTTAAAAAGGGGCTAATATACAGTCATAAGATCAGACTCCCAACATTGACACGTTATCTTTGAGAGGGACATTCAAACCCACTCTGCATGTATTCTGAGAGCATCAAAGTTACACTTGTTCCATTTTTGGCTATGCTCACAAAAGGTTTAATTAGGATTCTTTTATTATATTATTTAGTTAGGGTTTTGCAAGCCTAACATTAATCCAACTTGTACAGATCAAATGATTAATTTATAGCCAATTATTACAACCAGAAAATGTCATAACCGAATCTATAAAAGAGATGGTTTGATGTAGCGGCTCTTGGGCTAGAAACCAGGAGACCATGAGTTCTAGTCCTGCCTTAGTACGAAGCCAGCTGGGTCACTCTTAGGCCAGTCACACAGTCTCAGCCCTTGTAAGGAGGCAATGGCAAAGCACTTCTGAAATCTTGCCAAGAAAACTACAGGAACTTACCAAGGCAGTCACCAGGAGACTGACTCAAAATTGAGTCATCCAACAACCTCTCAAATTGAGCTCAACTTCTAGTTACTTCATAGACTCATCCATCTAGATTTCTTGACATTACTTGCTAATGTCTTCTATAGTCTTGGACTTTCTTGGCTTCCACCTAAATATAAAATCTGTACTGATTTTTGTGATCAGCCAAGGTCAGCTAATGAAATATGCAAGTAATTTTAACAATAGATGTTTATCTCTACGTATTGTTTGCCCAGCCTCAAGTACTGTACTCTCCAGTACTTGGCCTATTTGCTTTTGCCTCAAAAAATAATTTAATGGAATGATATATAATACTTCAAAAAAATGAAGTTCTCCACTTGAAGGAGAATACAGAAAATAATAAAATTAGATGCTGGAGAGACCTATAAGAACTTGTCTCAAAGATAGAAAATAAATACAAGCAAGCAAATATATGGCTGTTGAGTGACATTCAGTATGCCTGAATCTATGGACATTTTCTTCCAATGGAAGATACAAGCAAGGCATTTCTGTTAATATAAAGATTGCCCATCCTTTACCTTCCATTATCATTGACCTATTTTTTATATATAGAGCTCAAAATTGGTGCTGAAAAGGGAGGGTTTACCACCTACCAACCACCAGCACTTTTATAACTTCAGTGCTTTTTGTGTTGGCACCCAATGAAACTATTAAAAACCTAAGATAGAGGTTTCCATGTGCTTACTCGATATCATGCCAATTAATTTATGCCATTCCACACAAGGTATTTGTGATAATCCAGAACCATCTCTGGACCTGTCCAGTCTCATGACCTCAGGTATCTAAGAACCAAGTTGATGTTTAGTTGGTTCAGCTGCAATATCTCCACATTGCATCAAAAACTGTTCTTTTCATTGGTGTTCCAGTATTAGGGAGAACTCTTGATTAATTTCATGTCCCAACTTCCTTTCCTTGCCCCCAGATGTTCAGCAGGAATACCATTCTCTGCGTTTTAAGGTTAATGATATGAATGTGATTATGAGTCAGCTTCAAAGTTCTTGTGGGGGGCATGGGACTAGAGAGCAGAAACAACAGGCATGCAAAAGTGCCACCAGTACTGTAATAATGAACAATTGTTAAAATAATGAGTCACCAACATTTAGGAATGTTGTCTCTTAAGCAAAAGAAATTATTGAAAGCTTTAGCAGCATTTTGCATCTGACTAGGCTAGAACAATGAATTACCCCTACACCGACCTGGTGTCCTCCAATTGTAATTCCAAAAACTGCTGGTTTCAATTCAATGATGTATGAGAATTATGGGACCAACCCATTTCGAGGGTACCTGATTGAGGAAGACTTAATCAATGTTTACCATTTGTCATTCTTAGTAGTTGAAATAGTCAGAAAGTGATGTTATTACCAGCTTGAGCAATCCAAGCTAGACAGTTTGAGGCCTAAGGTACATTTTTGCAACACGTAGCCATCCATCCACATAACCTTGATCGAATAAGCTAAAGATACACCCATCTCTCTTTTTTCCTGGTCTATTCCATTACTCTTCCAAATGATGCCAAACATAGACCAAAAGTACTTGGCTGGATCCATTTTTAAATGACAAAAACCTCAATTGGAATCCCCTATTCATACCCCCATCCCACAGTGCTCCTTGTGTTTCTTCCTTGCTGCTAAAATTAGAAGGTCCCATAAAGAAAACAACTCTATATTCCATACATCAAATTGAGCAATAACATTTCCAACTCAGTTAAGTCTACAAGTGTAACTGCTGGGAACTGGTTTGAGTAAGAACAAGTTTCATAACAACTGCCACCAGTTCTTTTATGTCTTTGCTGTGGTTACCTTTTAAACCAGAAGCTTCTTATTAAATTATGTTGAAAACATGAGTTGTTTGTATTGTTTTTCATTCAGAAAACAAATAGCTTCAAGTATTGGGTTTAAATATTCAAAGCACAAATGATGAGGCCCAAATTATCATACCATTTATATATTTATTTAGGGTATGGCATATGAGGGCAATTTGGAAATAAACCTCTGTTTGGTTATCAATGACAGACTCTCGCAGATACAGAACTGTTATCATACACATTAGAAAACTACAACATTACTTTTCGA